ATCGTAGTTTCTTCTTTAAGTATATCTTGTAAGGCTTGGAACCTGTTGTTGAGATCCATCTGGAATTCATTGAGTTTGTCAATATCTTGAATGAAGTCTGTATTGAACTTTTGCAATGATATTTCCCCAGTTGTACAGTGCTTCTTTAGTTTCAGTGTCATCTTTAAAGCCACCAGGTGGTGATCTGAAGCTATGTCAGCTCCTTTCCTGGTTCTCACATCTATTGTCCTTCTGAATTTTTTAGCGAAACATTTATATGATGGGTCTGGTTACTTGTAGTGTGATCCTGTGAGACCTGTGTAGTTTTTTGCATGAGTTTGTGGGGGAATATAGTGCTGTCATTTTCATCCCTCTTTCCCAATCAGTAACGCTAGATCTACAGGCGGTGTTTATTTACAGGAAGGCTGAATATTATTTTTTGGTGTTCAAATAATTAGTCAGGCTAGTTGAAAGGGAAGCACTATAGATAAAGATGACATAACTACAAATTCTTTTCCATACATCTGATGGTAATCTCCATCTTTTATTTTCAACACCAATTACAAAGCCAGTAAAAAATCGTATCATCCAAGTAGAAACGGGCACCGATATTTAGTAAGTATATATTCAAGGCGTTACGTCCTTAGTCTGTCTACCCACTTTTGTCCAGAATAACTTGTCTAATCTAGATTAAGACCTTGATGCAATAGGATGACTGCTTAACCTTGAGGCTAGTATGAGTGAGTTTGAAGTGACACCAACTACTTGGAGTAGAGAGACTAAAGCTGTTCTATCACCTGATTGGCTGAAAAGCACGCGAGTGAGAGAAGACAAGCCAAGTGGAACACTACTCGATTTATTCTCAATTCCGGTCTGGTCCCCGATTTCAGATTAGTGCAAAATGATACATGAATAAATAGATGACTAACCGCACCACAACGCACAAAAAATTAGGAAAACACAATTATGTCCAAAGCTGGGAATTAGAGTAGAAAATGTAGTACAAAAGATTGCGTTTAAATTACAATAGCTCTAGAACAGAAAATGCTATGGCAGTGAATCATACATCAAACGAAAGCTTATGGTCTATAGAATAGACTAGGGACAAAAATAAATGTTACTGTTCCGCAAGCTTTGAATTACATGAAATAACGTCCTCCAAAATAGCTTCTGTAGTTTGTCATGGCTTCTTGTTTCTCTGTTCATATCACAAGGGATGCGCCAATCAGAATCAAGAACATGACTTTTAGGTTTCTTAGCAAAATTCGAATATAAAGTATGACGAATAACAAAAATACTACGTAAATTGTTCAAAACATCTAAAAGAAAATGAGAACTTATTGTTCACAATCATGGAGTAATATTGATAGTTTTGACATATCAAACGCTTCATTCTTTCTCTTTAAATTGTATGTAACAAGCGAATTGGTACTATCCCTACACTCTAACACAAGACATTTGATCTTGAAACAAACCTTAACTTGATAAAACTACACTATGCGTATGAACTAATTAATTAGTGTCTGATATGTTTGAGGAAAATTCACCTATCCAAATAGCAACCTTATATTGTGGCTGATGTCAGTTTGTGATTAAAACCCTAACCCTAAACCCATAAGTTCTACTCTAAATATCTAACCCTAACTAGGAGCAATGTGAGTATTTTTAGAAATCTGTTGAAATTTTTTAGAGGTTTTAGAAAAACAAACTGAACAAACCTGCAAATGTCTTTTTTTGTTTAGTTAGCTGGGTAAAACCCAGGTCCCGAAATAAACTAATTCAGTAGATAAATTTTTTAATATAATGAGGCAATTAACTGTTCAATAAAATTGACAGTCATCATGTACATTACGTATTATTTCAAATAATTGTAGACAACTATTCATATTTTCACAGATTGAAATCATGAGTCAGTTGAAGCTAGACCACCACTGAAAACCTGGAAGCACTGTGAAAATTTCTAAAATCTCCACAAACCCCTTCTGATAACTATCCATATGTCTGACTGAATTAAAATAGAACCATGGTGGGAAAAGTAATATTGACGAGAATAGACTGTAAGAGCGAATCCGTCCTGAGATCCATTCGAAATCTTCATTGTTATGTTACGAAAGGCAATAGCAACAATTTATTCATGAGATAATATTTTGCATAATACTAACCAATTCTTCTTGAAATAGGTTGAAGATATTTCTCATCATTCCAGTATAAACTTGGGTTCAATCACTTCTGTTTTACTCATCTAAGTGGTTACATATTATTTGGAGCATTTATCTTAATACATTCAATACTGATATTTTAGATTTACCAAATCTGGAATTTCATTGATGATTAATTGTGGAATTTATTAAGATTAATAGACGAACATGATAAATCGGGATAGTCAGACAAGTTCATACTTTATTCGCAATAATCAAATTTAACTTTTTGTTCAGTATGGCAAATATGAACTTCGCCTAGTGTAACATTCACATTCTTTGTGTTATTCTATGTGAAGTTTGTGTCTACAGTGAACTAGCGTATCTTTACATTTATATAGTGTTTATTAACTAATCATCGACTGTACGTAAAATGAGTCTAAATATAAAAGTATTTAATTTAATCTCATGCTTTCGAAGTCTATAAATTTTCATTGCACCAGTTTTCCGAGTATTTTACCTTCGTTTCATAGAACTTTCAGGAGTTCCTCATTTTCAAGTATAAGCAATATGATAGAGCGTAATTAATTCGATTTGAATAATATTGATCACAGACAATACTGTGTGTACAGACAAGTGAAAATCGTGATTCCTAAACCTAGAAGTTTCAACAAAATTCACAGTGGTAATACGAGCTTTTTGAAGTCAATTCATTCAGAACAACACATAAATTGATAATATTGTTTTTGACTGTTTTGATTAGATCTTCATCAAACTTTAATATATTGTAATGTATTTATATGTGTATATGAAAACTAATAAACCGTTCAAGTCTATTTATAAGTCAGTGGTAAAAATGAAATACATTGTACCCTAATTAATAACGAATGAAAAGTATACATTGATAATAAGACCACAAGTCTTGTAGTACTTTTTAGGATAATTAAAAATATGATGATATTAGCAAATATTTCATCATTGGAATTAGGTGAAAACCTTGAAAAAACAAATTCATTGCAAAAATTAACAATAATGATTATGTATTAAGAAGTGGGTAGTTAAGAAGAAATGAAAACGGGTAGAGGAGAAATGTGTAGAGCGTAGAAAGAATTAACAAGTCTGATAGAGTTCCGCTGATCAAGGAAATAACAGAGAAATTATAGATGTTTTAGGCACAAAGTCTATGGTTTAGGTTCGAATCTACAGTTTCTGCTATGCGTAAGAGACGAAATAAACGTTACTAGAAAAACCTCAAGATATCCAATCTGCTGCTCCCAATACTTTGGTTCTATTTAACGCGTATTTATAACCGACCATGTATTATAGAACAAAATTATATGTTACCTTATTTTAGATGATGGGAATATTTTTTAATACCTTCGGTTTTTCCAGCATATTTTTACGAAAATATACAATTTTCGCAAGCATGTAAATAGAATATTTCGTTGAAAGCCAGAATTTCATATTTATACTGCTCCTTTGTTAAACTTCATATTTCTGTTTGTTCTAATGTAGACATTCATTAATATGTCGTCGACACATAAAACCTGCGTTCAGTAATAGTCTAGAAATAAATTGTGATCATCAGTGCATATTTTTAACGTCTTTTAAGACGCTCGCTACAAAGTAAAAATGGAAACTCATTTTATAATGTGATGTAAACTTAGTTGAATGAATTAATTAGCAATTTTACGGAGTACAATAAAGGATTACATACTCGTCGAGATTATTAACCAACCTAAATGGTCTCGCTCGAACTGTTTCTTTATTTTATTGAAATCCACCAATATTCACAACTTTAAGCTGATAGTTATCATGTACAGACTGGTGACTAGCTCTGAGAGGAAATGCTCAGATTTTAATCGTGTTAGGTGTGAGATGGGTAGATAGACAATGGAAGATGGTGGTGCGACTTCGATGATCGATTAAAACCAGACATGTATACGAATGGATTCCAGTTCACCAACCTAGGGATGATTGGTTCACGTGCCAGTTCTAATGTTCTGAGTTTGTGAGTACTCAGTGCTCAAGAGTCTTATGCTAGAACAAAATAGCTGTTCTGTGCTTCTAAATTTTCCATGGTTGTCTAACTAGGTTCGGTTCAATTGAATTTTTGTCGACAGAAACTAATTATTAGTAGTTGGACTTCATTGTATGAAATAATAACATTGAATCTACTAAAAGTGTAAATACACGCGAATATCCTATCTAACCTACCTGTTTCTATACTTAGTATCTAAATGTGCTTTTGAGATTTTCTGATTAGAACGATTCAGTTTAGACGAAATGAAATATTCAAGATATTAATTGTTTTGCCAACCGACTATCGCTTTTACTAACTTATTGTCCAGGTAATTTTAATACGATTATATATTACAAGAACCTTTCACATTCAGTTGTAAATTTAACCATAGTTTACAATTGAAAGCATGGGTTTGACAGATCACATGTGGCTTTATATTATTCGAAATATTTCAGTGGGATACAGTGATTAAGGTTTCAGTAATAAAGGACGTTATTGACGTATTATTGAGTTTTACTGAATTGAACTGATGGTGAGTTTGATTCGGTATCTTCAATATTTGGATACTTTTCATGGCTCAAACCAAGAACTCAGATTTCCTCATATTTCCAGACAATTTTCTGGATTCCTCGAGTTAAATTTGATCTGATTGTCTACCTTAAAAAGAAATAGTACCTATGTTATTATTGGGCATTGTATTCAAGGTCATTCCTGAAGATAAACCCTGATAATGATTGGACAGTTCAATATATTGAAATAAAACACCAATAAACTGATTCCATTTGCGTAGGTGGACATGGCGATTCAAATATTGACCTTGACAATGCTAGGCTAAAATAATTATTTCGATTTTTGCCACTGTTTCAAGGCTGCTGCGTTGCGCCACTGTGGACTTGTCGTTTTGGCCGTTTGGATTATAGTAATCGTGTACACTCTAAGTCTGTCGGATGACCGACAGGAAAGCACAGGATGTTGATGGATGTTTTTTATCAGACGACCATGGCATGCGCAATTCGCATGATGGAAATCCGAACAAAAATACAGTAAGTCAAGCTACCGTGTTAATAAGACATAAAGTCACATCAGTTTGAGCAAAATCATAGCTTTCGGGACAAGGAATCGTGCGCTTTCTATGAGCGTCAACAGAAATAGCATTTATTTTGCGCAATTTATAAACTGTATGAAAGGAATTATTAGCTCTTTTAATTGTTTTAACCAGGCAAATATTTGGATTATTATAGGCAGAGATGGGTGGTGGCTAGCACGTTTCGTCCTATCTAGGGCTTGTCAGCTGGAGTGATGTACAAAATGACTTAAATATTTGGGTGTTTCTGACATTATTGAAACCCATAAAGTATACTCGAAATATACGACCAACCCAATCTTCAACATAAATATCGTTTCATCATCAGTTATTTTCAACTAATTTTCATTTTTTAGTCTTCGGTACCACTTCAAGATGGGACAGGAAATAGCGGTGAAGTAATCCTAGTACGCCAGAATTCAAATGAGCGAGGTGGCTGGAATGGGAAATTGGAATTCATGATGACATGTATTGGTTATGCTGTCGGTTTGGGGAATGTTTGGCGTTTTCCATACTTGTGTTTTAAAAATGGTGGAGGTCAGTAAGATTCTACTCGTATAAGTAATTGAATTATCTATTATGCTCAATTAACCTTGTCTGCTCCGTAAAATATATCATATTATTGTTTCTTGATAATCCATTGTGAAGTTTATATTACAGAACCAAATTGCTTTTAGAAGATGCTTGTAAATTTCTATAATTGTTTCACTCATTTGCGTCAATTTGCTGTTTCGAACAAATGTTTAGATATACATCAACCTGACCAATAAAATGTATTAGTATCATCACATCAGTTTACCATATTCTCTCTAATTATATGTAGAAATCACCCATATGGAATAGGACTACACTCATTTAAACCAAAATGATCAATAATGGGCTTTGTGAAGATTGTTAGGTGATTTTAAGATTCCAAACAACTATATAAAACCTGGTGTCATTGGACAGCTACTTTGTCTAATTATGGGATTCCTCAGTTGAACCAGAAACATTCATACTCGCAGCTAAACGTCCAAGTCTAATTTCAATCAATTCTCTATACTGTGCGACGATCCTCTATTTCTTGTATAACTGTGGTTTAAACTAACAAAATATCAATTAATTTAACCGTTCAACCCTAAGACGTTTTGTCACATAGTTCAGATGATCGGTTTTAATTTTAAAAATATTGGTTTCTATGGTTGTGTTTCCTTTTGAGTTTACTATTTACATATAAGTATGCATGCAAATTTTGGGAGTAATAAGTATGTTTTAGATTTTTATACTCCATTTATTTACGAGTATAATCACTTTTGAATTATATCAAACAGAGTTTATCAAGTAAGTAAATCGGCATAAACAGATTGTTTATATTAGTGCAAACTACTATTTCGCAGTTAAACTTATTGTGTTTAGTAGATGTATTCAGTTATTTCGTTCTTTTTTTATAAATTATAACATACATCCTATGAAGTTATGTGTATGTGAATGTTGTATGAAACAAATATGACTGAGAACAAAAATATAAATTCAGGTAGATTGTTTTATTAACGGGATTTCATCCTCATATTAAAATTTGAGCCCAGTACTTTTTGCTTCGAATGCTCAATATATCATTTATTGGGCGATTGATACTGATTAACTGCAGTTCTTAACATCATCGATGGGAAGATTCAGACAATTACAAATGAAACTAATTCGTGCGCGTTATACAAGTTAGCGGCCATCTGGACTCAGTAGCTAACGTGTTAGGACTTTGAGGTTGGAACTGAGTTCGTTACTTGAAGTGAGTACTAACACAGGAATGGCAATGCATTCATCTGTCCTAACGATGGCGGAGTTTGATGTCCTACCTCAGGTATTTATCTTGGTTAGGAAACCACTGTAGACTAGAAGACATTGAACAACTGTTTCGTCCCATTGTGGTGCCACCTGGGGTTCATTCAAAACGTAGCAATGCGTATACAAGACCTCACTGTTGAGGGAACACAGGACCAGTAATTCTAATCATTGAGTTGACGTTCAACTGTTAACCTTTCTACTTTTGAGTCCTTTCTGGGCTTAGATTGTAAGTAGCTTCCGTGAATATGCATCGCTATTTCAGTTTGGCCGGCCATTTTCATAAATGTTCATAGTGACCATTTGGTAAACGAATAATTCATTTAATCTATACATAATTCGTGATATAAAGAACTTTTGTTTCCTTATATATCATAAATACTATAAACATCAAAGAAGGATATTTTGTAACACTGAAATGTCTAGTATATAATTCATTAACTCAGGGTTAATAAGTAGTATCCGTCATTAGTACTGCTGAAAAACAGGCTAATTTACTTATCAGTGATTGGCGTCATCATAAAAAGACGTTTTTATAATATCTCTATTTGACATAAAAATATCTCGTTCTTATATCATATGAGACAAGATTTGTAAACAAAACCCACATTCAGCTATTGCTGTATGTGATAATTTAAACTTGAATGAAAATCCTTATTAAACAGTGAAATTTAATAAATACATACTAAATGCAGCATTTTTATTTTGACAAAATCATTTGGAATGCGTAATAGACTTTTTACAAGTACATTAGTGCAATCAGTTTTACTAACTTTCCTATAAAAGGATTTTTTGTGAAAAAAAAGACGAAATATGACTCGTGAATATCCTACGTAAATAATGATCACTGACAGATTGAAGTAAAATGGTATTTAATACGATTATTTGTTAGTGCACGTTTTCGATTCCAGTTGCATTCACTCTTTATCTTCTCCCAGATCTTGAGTTTCAATATTATTTATTTGACGGATTCATTCTGTGTTATCAAATCGTCTGTATACTTGATATATTTTACTGCTGCGTATAACAACGCTACTCTGGTACTCGCCATTTTCCACTGATAATTATATGCTACTTAGAACAAAATATTGTTTTTGAATATTTTTGAGTTTTTCAACTTCATACTTTCTTTAACATTGATGCAAGAATCGTAGAAAATAGGAGAGATGTAAATATACGCACACATTGGTTAAATGGTTAAAAACAGTCGGACCATTTATTCATCAATGACGTACAATGCTATATTGACGAAAGATATTAAAAACAATACTCTCTATGATAATTTCTCATGTCAAAAGGATAACAACAGAAAACTAGTTTCCAAAAATATTCCGGACTATTTCAGTGTACGTTAATGAATAGTGCATTTGCAAGGAATTATATAATACTCCATTCTGAAGGAAACAGTTAATTCCTTTTTTTAAATAACAAGTTTATGTTTTTTCCAACAAGACATTCATTGAATTGGCTCATTCAAACTGTTGGTAAAATAGATTTGAAAAGATAAACATTTTCCCGGTTATCGTTGTGAATATATATTCCAATATTGGTTTACATCATTGTTATGGCTTCCGTTAGGAACAGTAAAGTTCTTTTTTCTAGTAACGAGATTCTCATGATTCAACTGCTTTGTACTTAGGATGGTGTTAAGTCAGTGTAATAGTCCAAAGGAGTATTATTAAAACAGTAGTCTGGTATTATTTTCTGTCTGGAAATTCTAGTGAGACATACTACCAAGCAGCACTGGTCTGTTGAAAGCTGACAGTGTCATTTATATTTACTATTGTATGCCACATAAATTTCATGATAATCGTCTCACGGCAAACACTGGGATAAATGAAAACTAAGTGACTGCTTTACCAGAAGTTCTGTTGAAACAATACTTAGTTTTTAGCGTTAGATACCATCTAAAGTCCTTAATTATAGTTCCAGTATGATCATGGTATATAAAATGGTTTTACTATAGTACACATTGAAGGTATTATTTCAGATATTTAATACATCGATTTTTTTTATTGAGCTTTTGGACAAAATATGGTTTTTTTTATACAAATTATGAACATGTTTAACCTTGGCTAACTCAAAACAGTTCATTTTGATAAATTTAGAACTAGATGAGTACATCTCTTACAGTCATTTTGTAAATGGTGATCAGCAATTGTGTTTGGTTTTTAAAAAAAAGAGTAAGGTGATAAAAAGGAAAATTCAAGCTTAGATTTTCTTGTATAGTGATTACTTTCCTAACTAAACATTTATTCCTTCATTTTTTTTCATTATATTTATATTACTTCTGTTTAGTCAATAATGATAAACTGAGAAATGGCTGTATATTGTACCAGTTAAAATTCTAAATATTATTAGATTGTTTCGATGTGTGGTTCATGATTTGTGATAAGGTATATATAATATTGTTGTTCTTGCCAAATACATAATCTTGGAATCACCTGAAAGTAGATGATCACACCTTCTGCAACAATTTATGTCAGTATCAGGTCTCTCACAATTCCAGAACACAAGTTTCTCGAAATAGGAAAACTGACCATAATTAGTTTAAGAGTTAAGAAAATAAAAAGAAAATATAGTAAGGATGAGAATAACAAATTTTGCTGTTGTTAACAAGTAGTCGTTTTTCTTCTATTTTAAATTATTAAGCTGCAAGCATTTACAAGTGTCGGACCATAAAGTGACAACAGTTTAGAAATTTTCACTCTGGTCACTGATTCTAAAAGGAAAATAATTTTAATTGATATCTTACTGTGGTATAAAAGGCCCAGTTCACTATCTTTTTTCATGTTTTATTTATGTTCTGATCTTTGACATTCTGTACTTGTAATTATAGGAGTTTGTTTATAATCATTATTTAGTCACTAACAGGCAGTCAAATATTGACGCGAATTCAAAAAGCTCAGTTGGCTCCTTTCAACTTCAATCTCTTATGGCATAGGGAGGGTCTCTGTTTGCCAACTAAAGGACGAGTTTACTTCTCAGTAATTCGCCATATTCTCCCTAATGGATTTTAAAATCGCGATTAATAATGGATGATATTTTTAGGTTACTAATATTCAATCATGAGGATCTTCAAAGCATTGCTCATATATTTTGTACAACCAACTGAGTAATACTAAAACTAGACATCGGGTTCTAATTAAATATCTCAGAGCAATTCACAAGGTAGGGAATCTTCGCCGATTGAGGTAATTGAAACCTGTTTTAATCATACCCGACCACCGCCTACCTCGACGAGCAATTAAGTCTTGTGTAGTAACAGAAGTACGTTAGAAGAAAGCTTAGTGTTGGCAAAAACAAAACTCTGTATTTGTCTATTAAGTCATTGATATTTCAACTTAGCCATGTAGGTAGGTACGAACTACCTGGTTGTGGTTCACCCGATAATGGCGTCCAGAAGTTGAAGACTTCGGTCAGCCTGGCTAAGTGTCGTACAATATGGGGTAAGTGAATTTACTTCTCAGATATACGAGACAATGCAAGCATGAACCTAATGTTGACAGCAGATTAATATTTCGTTCTCTTTCCAAAAAGAGCAACAGTAATTTCTTAACCAATTACATTGATTTCTATCAAAATGTACCTGACATGTGTCACATGTCAGTCAAAATATAGTGGAAAATTTTATAGAAATATGGACTTTTGCGCTGAACTAGTACGAATAAATTAATTAAATATGAAGGAATGTTAAACTGAATAATCATCACACTGGATAGAAAAACATCGTATATCCTTGACAAATACAGAAAAGCATCAGATAAAATTTGGTAAAATCTATGTCATTCATCATTATTTAGAGATCTTAAATAGTCGTTTAATCAAAATATGTATCAAAACGATGTGAATCTTCTCTAAAATAGTTACACTGCATTGTCAGTTAAATATAATCCAGAAAAATGTATCTTTGATGAAAATAAAATAGGCATGAAATATTCAATATGATTTTTATTCACCTAACGTTATGTATGTCATAAAAGGCAGATATATGAAAAACAAAGAAAATTCTGACTGCTTTCTTTTTCAAATCCCTAAGAACGATATGTTTTTAGGATGAATTCTGGCACACGGCTAGCTTTAGACAGATATTTTTAATACCGAATCAATCAATTGTTTTATGGGAACACCCTTAAGTTTTTTAGACGTCTGCATCTCCTTAAAGGCTATCTATTTGTCCCACTGGTTTAGTAAAATCGTATTCAAAAAGATCATTCATGAGCTTGCAAACGATAGTATTTGGTGGGTTTTCTATTTTATTTATATGTTTATGATAGTAGGATGTAATAATGAAAATGTTTGTGTCAAAATCACAAACAAGTTTGGATTTTATCAAAATAATTTACGAATGATTAAAAAACCACTTATCTATCAAACTTGATAAGTTAGTTCAATAACAGCCTTATGTTAGGCAACCAATTGTTTGTCATTTTTCTATTTTAATTTTTGAATGCTAATTTTTCCAAATACTATTTTTGCCAATAGTATTGATCACAAAATATCTTGGGAAGCTGAACGTATTTTTGAACACTTCTGGGAATAGAAGAAACGTTTTCGTGAACAACCGCCCTCTTTTTTCCCATATTGTAATGTTGTAGAGATTGCAATTCATGTTCTGTGTTTATGTTAGAGAAATAGCGAATAAAGGCAAATGAAGAGGAGATTTCCATTTTTTTCGATATTCAGACAGAGATATAAGGTTTAGCGATTGTATGAATGAGTTTGAAAAGGACGTCCTTTCTGTCCAGTGATTAGGTTGTCAACCCACTGAAGTATGTTCAGAGGCGTTTGCTTGTTTGAGACAACGTAACCACTAATAATACCCGATATACCAAAGAAGTATCCACAATGCACTTGAGTAGTTTCAGGCTGCAGTCAATGGCTTTTTATTTGAGAACGAATTCCGTTTACAAAACTTGTTGCACTTCAATGTTATTCTCAAATTACTCACATGATTAATTATACAAATCAACAAGACTAGAATCCACTATGAACAAGAAATCCCATGTATCAAATGATAACACTTACTCTAATGATCTGAATAATTGACCTGTGATTAATTTGCAATAATTTGAGCAATGAGAAAGATATGATAATTAATAACCTTTAAAATAAGAGAATAAATATACTTTAGAGCTAAAAAATATTAATCTCCCAGATAATCATTTCCAAACTCTATAACGTCCTTATATTGGTCTTGTCTTTCACAAAATCTTAAAATGTGATAGAATTTCGATACAAATTAATTTGAGATAAATTTTATGTGATTTTGTCCCTGCATATGGCAAATTAATGCCTTAAGTGGAGATGATTTTATTACATTTTAGATTTGTTTTTCTGATATACTACTTATTATATATTAAATAATGTATCATATTAACTAAATTACATAATGAGAAGGGGTTTTGTGGAGATTTCAGAAATTTCAATAATTGAAATCATGAGTCAATTGAAGCTAGACCACCATGGAAAATCTGGAAGCACTGGATGGCCGTTTCGTCCTATTGTGGGATTTCTCAGCATTGCGCATCCACGATCCCGGTACTGTCGTCCGGTGCTTCCAGGTTTTCCATGGTGGTCTATCTTCAATTGACTCATTATTTGAACTATTTAAATTGCATAAAATTAATGAAATTTTACTGTACTTTAATTTTTGTTTTCTAATTAGCAATGTATATAATGAAAATTGAACGTACTTACCGTAACACTTGTACAATTTTGATCATGTTTAATTATGATATTTAAATGATGTGTGGTATGAAAAAAGTATTTCATTGTGTTTTATTTATTTAATATAATTTTTAGGTGCATTTTTAATTCCATATACATTAATGTTAGCATTACTTGGATTACCATTATTTTTTCTGGAATTCGCTTTCGGTCAGTTCGCTAGTTTAGGTCCAATTTCTGTTTGGAATATTAGTCCATTATTCAAAGGTATGTATAGATGTGTGTGTTAGTATGTACAGGTAATGTTTATTTTATTATATTGTCTGGGAGAAAAAAATATACTTTACTATATAAAATTTTCGTATTATTCAGCATGTTAACCATAGCTCAGTAGGTTATTGACTTCATTTACACTGTCTTCAGTGCAGACCCTATGTCAGTATTTAAAAAATCCCGAATAAAATAACTAGAGGAACCTATTGAGTTAATAAACAATAAACAAACACAATTCAGCAAGCTTGAGACTCGGGGACGGGAATTGTCTTATCAGAATGAATTGTCTTGTTTTTCTTATTCAAAGTTATAAGATGATATCTAAACATGAAACATTTGAGCACTTTATTTTAACAACTATATAAGAACTTTTGATTATAATCATGTAATCAGGTAATAAATATTTCGCTACATAATCCGTAGTCTGACTATGAACAATTTCACTTATAATACATGGATTACGTGAAGGAATCTTACAGTATTTATTACATAAAATACAATTTTTCAAATGTTTGTCACCATCTATTTTTTGCAGTAAATTAATTTTGTCATCTCATGAATTGATTATCGCAATTATTCTGTCACAGGTTTTCTCACCCATAGTTTGGTGACAAAAAGAATGTTCCGTTTATTATTATCATACTTTTCTAAAATCTTCAACTTTCCTAATATTCATCGACTACATAATTTGTTAAATTCGTTTTGAAAATGTACCATTTGAAATAGGAAAAAAAGAAAACAATTCTATCCATTGTTTTGTCAGAGCATAGATGATTGTATTCCTTTGATAGAAAATATCTAAAATTTATATATATATATATATATATATATATATATATATATATATAATACTCATTAAATTTAACGAGTCCATAAACTATGTCTATAATTGAAGCATTGGAATAGGTATTCAACGTGCCTTTTCTAGTTTGAAAACAGAAAACTGGTTTTCGAAAAGAGAATTTCCAGTTTTTGTTTTGATTTTTTCTTTCTGAACAACATATGTTCATATCAATAAATATCTATTTTCAGTATTTTGAAAAGAAATTAGTCACATAGTAAATATGTCAAATTATCAATCCTATAAACCCAAAATATAATACAAAGTTATTCAACGATATACCGAATAAAAGATATTTCTTGGTAGAAAAAATCACAAAAAGAAAACCGAGTTTCACAATTATATTTTATATGTCTATAATTGTGGTAAACATTGTCATTTACAAAAACAACATATACAAACATTGACATGTTGAACACTAGCTCCCTGGTGTTTTAGATTTAAACAAACTGATTATAGATAGTATGTTATAAAGCTAACAAAAAATGTGCATATATTTTGTCAGAATTTATTCTTTTCGTACAATCTAGTTCTTTATTGAAATTAAAATGGATGATTTTTGCTTACATAGATAAATTTTTAATAATTTCTCTAAGTCAGATGAAAATAATATTTCCCATTGATTTAAATCTATTTGTAAGTTAATGAATGAAATACATATATTAACGGAAAACATATGGCAAAGTAGATAGCTCGTTTATAGTTGAAGTAAAAAAGCATTAATTTTCTATTCTTAGAGCATCCACTTGACGAATCCAAAATAGGATGAAACCTACGTCTATGACCCAACTTTACTGAAAACTGTAATATCAAGTCGATTCTATATGAATACGTTTATGCCAACGGAAGCTGATCTTTTGTAGTTTTTTTATATCAACAATGTGAAATACATACTGTGATAAATATAATTTATTAGGGTAAATCACTTATTCCCTGTTATCACATAGCGCCTCCCATAAAATATTACATTTTGTCATCTATACATTACAAAGAAGCTCTACTGATTACATTGTGAATTTTGCTTTTTACATTTTCCAGGTATTGGTTACGCTATGGTATTTTTATCATGGTTATTAAATATCTACTATCAAGTTATCGTTGCACATTGTTTATATTATTTTGGTGTTAGTTTTACGCATACATTACCTTGGACAGAATGTAATCCTCCCTGGAGTACACCTGATTGTATCGATTCAAACAGAAGTAAGTGATATTTATTGTGTAGATTAATCTAAGGATCATGTTAAGAAGTGATTATTTTTAATTTACACATTATTCACCCTAATAAGTTAACTAATCTTCAATGAGTAGATTTATGTAGCCGTACCAATCTTCATTTATTAAGTTTCTATATTGAATTATTTCTTTACCAGCTTACATGAATGTTTGAAGTATATATGTCCTAACTGCAACTTTTGTTTGACATTTTGTCGCTGTTCCTTTTTAACGTGATTGATTAATCGACAGACCAAACGTTTACCCTCTAAACCATTGAGCTGGCATACAACGGCGTTAATGTCTAACCTCGAAGAATCCACGAAATTGCGCGACCATCTTCCATTGTGTAACTCATCCATGTGAGGTAGAGACAGGTATCTACCTCAGTACAATGGGAGATGGTTGCGCAATTTCGTGGATTAGTTGAGGTTAGACACTAGCACCATAAGATGCCTGCTCAGTGGTCTAGAGGCTAAGCGTTCGCACGCGAGATCAAAAGTCTTGGGTTCAAATCCCGCGAACGGAATTGTGGATGCGTACTGCTGAAGAGTCCCATGATAGCACGAAACGACCGTCCAGTGCTTCCAGGTTTTCAATGGTGGTATAAGATCAATCGATTCATGATCTCAATCAAAACTTAGTAATCTCCCACAACCCCATATTGATAATTGTTTTATTTGCTGGCTATTGTTATGTATCAACCTAATCGCTTTTAATTTATCCTAAATTAATAAGATCTCAGCTGAGTTGCACATTATAATAAGTAGTAACATGGGACGATCATCCAAAACATTTTAAATCATAATCCTTTTTTATTCTAACTATCGTAATGGATCGAGTTGTTTCATACCCTATAAGCTCAAATACAACAGGGTAACGGCTTCAAGCTAACACATTTTATTTGATCTCTTCAAACTGTTCATCATGAAGCTGCAATTGATAAGTATTTGTTTTGAATTTAATTTTACATGGACAATGGTCCATGTAAAATTGATTGATCACTAACTAATGACTAGTGTCATGTTGATTCAGTTCTTTTGTGTTGATCAGTCTGCTAACAAAATCGTAATATGACCCAGGTCTGTAGTATTTCGTCGATTAACTACAGCCAACTAACATAATTATTCTTTAATAAGTATATACTGCATTGCAACTATAATTATTTACATTAAGCTTCTTCTACTCTAAACTTTACTATTAAATTGCCGATTCACTTCTATATTTTATCAAAATACTTTATAAAGTAGCAGATGAAAATCGGTTCAGTTCCAGTTGTATACACTAATTATGTAGAAATCACAAATCTTCACCGTTCAGGCGATGCTTCTTTACTTACGTAAATCACCAGGTATGGGGATTATTCATAATCCTGATATTTACTCTGTTGATGTACAAACGTTGACAAAAACTATAATTCGTTGCTTTGTAGTTCCTTTATATATTTCTTCTTGTGTTTTTAAATAAAAAGCTGATTTCATTCTATGAAAATACTAATGAAATTTCTCATCCAAGTTTTGATAAATCTAATCTTGTTCACATGTCTACATTTTATGGAAGTGAGAATTTATTTCAATATCATGTCAAGTACAGTTGATCTATTTATACATCAGTTTATTAAATTATGCATATATATATATAATGTGAATTTCTGTGAATTTTTACTGAATTACCCTTCTAACACAAATATGTAAATATTCTGTTTTGATTTCAGTGAATTACAGTAACATCACATATCCTAAAACACCATCAGAAGATTATTATTTGTAAGTGAAATTTTATAAATTATAATTTTATTGTTAATTAATTGATTTATAAATATGGAGAAATGATTATGGTTGTTTTATCCAATAAGACAATTGTTTACAACCTTCTCTACTCTTTACTCTACTCCACTTTACTCTACTCTACTGTACTTTACTTTGTTCTATTCTACTCAATCCTTGACTATTTTCTTTCTACTACTTTCTCATTATCTCGGATATGAACAAGACAAACATCGTTATGATTGTAGATAGTTTTCATATAATATAAATTATTGAAACTAGATAATATGCTAATGTTTTATTCTTTATGCCAAATGCTTTGTGCATATTTTATTCTATTGAAGCTATCGTGAAAACAAAAATAAATACCACATCATGTTGGTTTAGACTAATATGAGTTTTTTATGCCTCAATTGAATGATTAATTTAAAAGGTCATCCAACGGGTAACTGCACTCCATATTGTAATCAATAAGATATATATATATATATATATACCACTATTAAATGTAGACCATAAAGCGAAATCATGAGAGTGGGTCAATCGATCTCTTGAATAAGTTGAATAACATGAAAAACTCACTAACATTTTCATAATTGATAAAGTAAATAATTTGCTATATGTTGAAACATAAATGATCGAGAAACAGTAACTGTTCAACGAACCTAAATGAAATCAAATGAACAATGAGCAATTTATTTGTTAACATTATGATCATGATCATTAATATCGTCCAATGGCATATCAGTTATAAGTACTTACGAATACCGGTTCAAAGTTACCGATAACATTATCTGTAAGTTACTATTCTCATTTATTGAAAATAACCATATTATGTAAGTGCTTCTGAATTTACGTTTTTGATTACATTTATTTAAATTTATATTCAAGTACTTATAATTGTCTTTCTGCTCGTTAAGTAAAACATTTTGTAGTAGTATAATGTTATAGATCCATTAGGTATTTTTGGTCATCCATCATTGTTACAGGACAGATGGAATGTGGCTAACAGCGCAATCCAGGACGGGTGTTTCGCCTCATTTGGGACTCATCAGTTGGATATACCCGGAAATGAAAGTTAATAATCATTCCTGGATTCTAACCCGATACCGTTCGCTCCCAGCGCCATCGCGTTTTCCACTTAGTGACTAAGTCCAAAGACAGTGGGATAAATTATTGTTCATTAGTATTAGTTGTTTGAATCTTCCCATCATGTTTATGACTGAAAACTACCATTCTATACTTCTACATGTGCAAGTGGTGCAAATGGCCTCAATATTCCATTACATCAAGGATTTTAAACGCAAATAGATGGTGGCGATAAACTATAATTCCCACATTACACACGTCAGTAGCTATCTTGACTCAATAGCTAATTGAATAGCGAGTTGATGTTTGAAGCACGCGGTACTGGATTCGAGTACCGAAGTGAACATAAACTCTATCTGAGGAGACTCAAGTGAGACAAAACGCGCGTCATGGATTCCACTGCTAGCCACCGTCCGTCTTTGCTTATAATACTTGTAACTCAAAGGAATCCATACAGGATGCACATTTACCAATAAAAGACTGATTAATTGCAGTTTTCAACACTATTTAGATGATGTAAACAATCAACACAAAGGAATAGTTTTAAAGCTCTAATTGTTGTGGTTTGAAACCGGTGGTTGTGATTTCAATGTATTTATTGATTACCTTCCTGTATATCCTATATATTATTATTATTGAACATTTCTGATTTGTCAGTTATATATCTTTTCAAACTTATTCTCTTTGCAAGTACCGTTTTATATTTACAACCGTTTTTGATGTACCTATCAGCTATTTTCCCTCTTTATGTCCTAAACAAAATGTATCGAAAGTGGATTCATGCAAATTTGTTATATTTAGAATTATTTGAATATTAATTATTTTTTTATTGTTTAGTAAAATATACACCAGGTGTATATACAGTTTTGTTTTCTTTTAAATTAAAGATTCAAAAAGAACATTATAGAAATGGTTATGCGTATTACGCTTCAAAATAGACACATTATTTCATTGATTTATTAAAGATGTGTAGTAATCTGAATTTAAGAAATGTTAAACTGGGGGAAATTTCTATTTTCTTTTTTCAACGGACTATTATTTGTGGTATCTGGGTAAATTTGGACTATCTATCAATTATGACAATGATTTCTATATCGCTTAGCTAAATTTATCTTCGAATAAACAATTCACCAATATATTAGTATAAATATGACAATTTATATATTATTATTAATAGACTGTTATTTCCATCTACTATACATTATTTGCTTTATAATATCAGTATAGGGTTGGAGAGATTGTTCAATTTCATGTATATCATGAGCTGATCTAGGTTGGATAGGCACCGAAACTCTGAAAGCACTGATTATCTTTATCGTCCTAGTATGGTACCCCCAATAATGTGCATTCGCATTCCTGGAACCGAAAATCAAATTCAGGATCTTCGGTCTCATGCGCGAACGAACAAACTCTAGACCACTGAGCCGGTTTTTAATGGCTTACTGGTCTAGATTCTGTCAGTTCTCTATATTGCGCGAATATCTGTTTTCTTCGGTGAGTACCTTCCTGACAATCGGCAGTGTATACTAAATGAACGTCAAGTTACTTCACGTTATGAAAGGTTGCGTAAGATAGGTCTGTTCGTGATAGCAATAAAATTGAGCTATTCCGACAACCCTATACTGATAATTTTCATTTAGTTATTGGTGATTAGCTTTGAGAGGATATTCTCAGGGTTCTAGTAAGAAGCCATGACCAATGTAACTCAACCACTTCAGGTGTGACGAAAATATTCATCGACGACAATGGAGGGTGTTCGGGCAGTATAGAGGACTGATTGGAGTTAGACCTGATTACTGAACACTCATCACTCTTTATAAAAATTTGTCTTCAATGTAATGCGAATTGTAATTCAAAGTTGTTATTATGACCTGGGATTAATGAATCAATCAGGTATGATCAGGGTAAACCCTGGCACAACGAGATAAAATTAATAGGACACAGCAAAAGAGATTGGAATACATCAGTAGCAGTGACGATGCAAAAGACTAGACATTGGGAAAGTTTCAAAAATACAGAATGTAAAGGATTCTAAGAAGAAATTCAAGGTTAAAAGATGAAGGGTGAATACATCTGCACCATTGATAGCAGTTTACAGAGTCTCTTACCACTGATCACGGTTACCACAAAGATTTCAATCAGGTTAGCCTGTATATGCCAACGTGACTAAAATGAACATTCAGGGACTTTATGGACTGATGCCATGTTTTAGTTAAGCATAGTCTAGTTTAATTCCAACCTTTTATTACCGCGAACATTGACTCTCAAACAAGCTGGCGTCTAGGTATACGTAACATCTCTCGACTGTCTTAATTAGTGAAGACTCAACTTTATCAGTCCATTTGTCACGTTTGCTTAACACCATATGGTTAACCTCAATATATACTCACTTGATTACTTTTGCATCTTTTCCTGTATTTTGTTGTTTGTTTGACTAAACAGAATATGATTCACCTTTACAGTAATTTTGTTCTGCATTTATTATCAATGTATCAAAGAGTATGCTATTCCAGTTCATCAATGTTATGTTGTTTAATCATGGAGAAATGTTATCTCGTGATTTGTTCAGATGCGTGTGTAATAGTTTCCTGTTAAGAGTTATTGCTCCGTCAACTTCAGAAGTGTTTAGTTCACGTGCTTACGCTTTATCCTGCAAATTGACATATTTGGCTTGTATATGTGATTATTCTGATAATTGTTTGACATCAGTAACTGTCTTTAGTTAACAATGACGGAAACTAAAATAAACTGAATGTTTGTTTCTTCCTAGTGTTACACTCCTGAACAGTTCCCTTCCAATAATCTGACGGTCGTATCTTCATTACAAGGGATTGAGGTTTTTAGTCCGTTCGCTAAACGTGTAGAGGATGTGCATAGCGGTGTGGTTCTATACGACAATGAAATAGTAGTTTAATGCTTCTTTCTTTCCTAGCCAGAACAGGCCCTTAATGTTGAACTCCAAAATATAAAAATACACTCGTAATATACTCTTTGATCCAAGTTTTTCTGATGTTATCAAAATTGATAATAATATTAATAACATCAGATAAATATGGAATAATCAAGCTTAAAAATTACGTTTGGTGAATATCTTTTAAAAATGAACATGGATTTTTTTTAATTGTCTGACAAAACCATGCATGTACTCCTTAAGATTAAAATTTTTGATTCTTAATGTAAACTTTCAATCTCCATTTATTTTGAATATATTGACAAGAAATAAGCAATATAGAATATCAGTCTATGGAATACCATCAAGTTCAAAATAAATCAAATTAACAAACTGACAACTTAGCCACATGACAAATTTTGATTTTTGTTCTGTAATAGTAAAATACTTACTACTCACCAAACAATCACAAAAATAAAAATAATCTGGGAATAAAATGATATTTATGTGTACTTTATAGTTATCAGGAATTTCCTTTTTAAATCATTTACATTAAATAATTATTAAGATGCCAAGTTTTTTTTATATTATTTAGTAATCAAGTTCTTAAATTATCACCTGGTTTCGAAGAGTTCGGTGCACCAGGTTGGGAGTTATCTTTATGCCTTTTATGTTGTTGGATTTTGTGTGGACTAGCGGTTATTAAAGGTGTCCAGTCTCTTGGCAAAGTGAGTTACAACCGAACTATTCATTTATTTACTTATTTTTCGTTTACATTACACTCTTGGATAGTTATCAATTAAGTTTGAATGTTGGTAACATTTGTTAAAAGGTATACAATGACTTTTAACCATATTATTTATGTAACGTAAGTTAATCTATCTTCGGTGTGATGTACTACTCATAAATAATAGATGTACAATGGATAAATTATACAAGTCGAATAGAAGTTACATCATAAGAAATGCCTATATTTTAGTGTATAACTCATCTGAGCAAACTGAAGTATCATAAAAGTGTTGTTTATATCTTGGCATCACCATCTCCAAATTCATATATTGCAATTGGAAGCGTTTGTTAACATCAATAAAAGTTATTAAAAACCAACTATCGATAAAATTTTGTTCAATCATGACTATAAGTAATTGATACAGAAGCTCGATACAAATATAAAAACTTTCAACACGCTTGCCCAACTGCTCAATTGGAGAAGTCTGAATAATAACTTAGGACTTATTATCGACGAAACGAAATAATTAGGCAAACAAATCACTGATCCATATACATTTTACCTTCTTACACATGATAGTTTAATCTTAGTACTCGAGTTCATGCACAATCGATCTCTTCCAGTAACGTGTTTCATTTACAGTTTCTCACAAATTTATTCACTATAGACAACATGTATTCAAAAGGAAGTGGTATGTTTAATTTCACCGTGTTCATTAAGGGCGGTGTACAGTTTTGCTTCCAGTTTGAAGAACTGTGTAGTGCGGAAGTCATATTCTCTGCTGTGTCGTTTATAGAAATTAATTTATTTTTAAGTAGGATCAGTGTAAGATATTTTATCTTTGTGTTTTGGACTCATCAGTATTCTATATCCACGTCACCTTCATTAATCTAACTACTGTTAGATCCAAGACCTCTGGTGTGTGGGCGAGAATGATAATGACTGATTATTAGCTTAGTCAGACTAATAGATAGTCTGACAGGTACTAGATGAGTTATATATTCTCTCACCCTTATTATTATTATTATTATTATTATTATTATTATTATTATTGGATTGCTGACTGACTGTTATCGGTCTTTGGTGTGGAAGTATATATACGTTCTAGTCAGGCTAATCATGTGTTCTTGGTCTGAGTTGTGTTGATGTCGTCTAGAATAGACACTGAGAGTGAATCTAGTGTAGATATTCGTTAAAAGGCAAATTGACGTCCTATTTGTGAAGACGATAAATCCAACTGTTATGACAGCGGTGACGGTGGTTAAAACGGATGTACTTCCAAATATTCAGTTAAAGTGGATTTTTTAACAGTAAAATGGATGATCTGAAATCGTTATTGCAACAGCGAATTATTGGTCAAAAATATGACAGCATTCCTAAGAACCCAGGTATTTAATTGTACTATGACTTCGGATTCTATTGCGAATCCAAAAAATGAATTTAGATTTGATCCAGAAAGTGAGATTACTTTTAAGGCGTGGTTTAAGCACCATGAGGATTTGCTTGTTAATAGTTATAAATAGTAAGACGAAGGTTCTAAACTGAGATTATTACTACGGAAGCTCGGCGTTTCTGAAGATGAAAAGTCTTATAATTTTATTCTCCCAAAGAAGACAGCCGACATAAAATTCAGAATGTCTGACACGCATATTTGGGGAGTGATCATCAATTATTCACACTAGATTCTAGTGTTTCCAGCTTGTAAGAAAACCACAGAATGATTATGTAACATATGCAAGCATCGTGAACCAGGAATGTGAGAGGCTCCAGTTACAGGAAATTCCCTCAGATCAGTTTAAATGCCTTATTTTTGTCTGTGGGTTACAATCTGCAGTAGATGCAGTTGTCAGAACACGGACTTTATCGAGAATTGAACAAGATCCTAATATCAGTCTGCAATCAGTATCAGAAGAATGTCGATGAATGGTTAATTTGAAGCAAGACACAAATCTAGTAGAAAGGAACAGTGAACACGTGGAAGTTAATGCTTTGTGGATATCTTTTAATGGAAATAAAGATTTGTACTCACTGTGAATCCCAAACCGAATGAAACCCCAAACGTCTTACTGGCGATGCGGTGAGTGGCATTTTAAAAACGTCTGTTTCCGATGTGGTGGTGACAGCTTGGACGGTGCTGGTGGGAAGACGACATGGAAGACAGTCACGGAGCGGTTGGCGGGCGAGTTCGACAGCCCAGTGGACAGAGAGGACGCGCTGCAGAAGTTCCGGTTGGCGAGGTTGCCGGTCGATGTTGATCCACTGATGCTGGCTGCGGAGCTTACCAGATTGTTACGCCGTGCGCTGCCGAGTCTGGATGAGGAGTCGGAGGCACAGTTGTTGGCGTCACAGTTTATCGAGAGTGTGCCTGCCACCGTCTCCCAACAGCTGAAACTGGTGAACGCAGCACAACCGATGGATATCAGTGAACTGGCGAAGGTGACTCGTCAGCTGATGACGCGAACAGTAGCTCCGGTCGGGTGCGAAAAGCAGGAGATGAGTAATGTCAAGAAGAAGATTAAGGAGCTGGAGCGCGAGATTGCAGCAATACGAGTGAACCATAAAAGGAAGTTGAGACAGTTCCTGGGAAGAGTGGCGTTCTATAGTCGGTTTGTCAAGAATTTCAACGAAATAGCAGCACCCTTATATAAGTTATTGAGCAGCACCAAGTTTACGTGGACTGAGACTGCCGAACAAACGTTCAACCGAATCAAAAACATGCTAGACGATCGCCAGATGACACTCAGACTGCCTGAACCGGGAAGACTGTTTACAGTGGCCACAGACGCAAGTGATCATGGTATAGGTGCTGTGTTGAGTCAGGCTGATAGAGTGGTGGAATACGCGAGTCGCGTCCTCACACCCGCTGAACAGAAGTATTCAACCATCGAAAAGGAGTATTTAGCAATCGTATGGGCAGTGGAAAAATGGAGACCGTACCTTTTAGGTAGACGATTTCACATTGAGACCGACCATAAACCCCTGCAGTGGTTGAAAACAGCAAGAGACCCCCGAGGGAAGTTGGCGCGATGGATGATAGGCCTACAAGAATACGACTTCAGTATCGGCCATGTTCCAGGAAAAGAAAACGTAATGGCGGATTACTTGTCAAGACCAGACATGGAAGCCGACCTGCCATTAACAGCATACGCGGTGAATAGTTTAGAGGGAGACCCATTAGAACTCGTCCGGCAGCAGAAAGCTGACCCTAACCTTCGAGAGGTAATCAGAGTGATAAAAGAGGGAGCAGACGTAGATAAACGAATAGTGGACAAGGAGGTAATAACGCTACTTCGGCAAAAGGAACGACTGAGAGTGAACTCATACGGAGTGCTGACCTGGCAGGACGATGATGAGAATTGGGTGGCGGTGATCCCGAAGGACTGGCGGCGTAAAGTGATACACGAGTGTCACCAGGTAGCGCATACAGGCATCGCAAGAACGACGGACTTACTACGACAAAGTGCATACTGGCCGAGGATGAGAGACGATGTGGCTGAATACGTGTTAACCTGCCAGCAGTGTCAGCTAATGAAAAGCGATCGATACACACAACCGCCATTACAGTCAATCCCAGTAACCGCAGTCGGTTATCTATGGTCGGTAGATGTAATGGGACTTAGTAAAGTGTAGAGAACGAAAAAGTAACATAGCAGGAGGAGCAGGGTCGGAGAAGCTGACTCCAAAATGGGAAGGACCGTATGTTATCACGGAGAGACGCGGCTCGGTTTAAACGATCCGGAGAGAAGACAAGCAGACGTGCGTAAAACCTAGTCAACTGCAGAGATGGTTTCAAGATCATCATGGGTGTGAGTCACGAAAAGCACCAAAGAAGATAGCGGTACGGAGATCAGAAAGACTACGACAGCAACTTGTTAAAAGGGGGGAGGAGTGTGGTGCGTGCTACTTATATTGATATAAGTAGTATATGACGCGAGCTAAAGAACGTAATGTCTGGCAGCAGAAGATGGGGAAAGATCAACAAAGGAAGAGCGGGAACACAATGGAATTTGTAAGAAATCGCATGAACAATGAAATGTGAGACAATGGATTGAGGTTTGCAACAGCAACAGTCCGGTTTGATATGATGAAATGATATTTTGCAAATTAACGATTTACTATATGGTTTTTCTATTTTACCAAGTAATTCTGTAATTTGTGCTACATACAATTTGGTTGTCCTGACCCGTCTTCTCCTTCACTACAGAACTAATATTACTATTGGAAAAATTCAGCCACATCTCACATTGGGTGATAAGAATAACACTGGCAAATGTTATATGTCTGGGGTCTGTCATGCTAAATTATTAGGTATTGATTGGATAGATAGATTTGGTTTATGGGATCTACCGTTGAGCACTGTCTGCAATATGATTAATTCAACAGTACCTCAAACGCTGTAAAGTCAGTTTAGCAGGTTTTGTGTAAAAAAATTGCATGATAAGTTTTCAGATATCTTTGAGGGTAAATTGGGACTATATGTGAAAGTAAAGGCCGGTTTGTATGTCCAGCAGGAAGCAAAACCTGTGTTCCTTCCAAGGAGGCCGGTATCTTATTCGATTACTGATGACTTGGGTACAGAACTTGACAGACTGCAGAGTTCTGGGGTTATTTCTCCTGCAAATTATTCTGCATGGGCAACACCATTATTGATATTAAAAAATCTAATGGTAAATTACGTGTATGTGTAGACTTCTCCACTGGGTTAAACAAAGCACTACAGAACCATTTATACCCCTTACCCATCCCAGAGAATTTGTTTTACTAAGTTGAATGGATGCTCCATATTTTCGAAGATTGATTTTTCAGGTGCATATTTCTAGGTGGAGGTCGAAGAAGTTTGTAGATTCCTGCTGACAGCGAACACACATCGGGGATTGCTCAATTATAATAGACTGCCTTTTTGTATAAAATGTGCCTCGGCAATTTTTCAAGAAGTCATGGGCACTATGTTAAACGATGTTCCGTTTGCCATGCCATATATGGATGATATTATTATTGCCAGTAGAAGTGAAGAAGAATACTATGACCATTTACAAGATGTTTTTCTCGCATTAGAGTATGGCTTTCGTTTAAAAGTAGAAGAGTGTTCATTTTCCATGATAAGTATTACATATTTGGGGACAATTACGGATTCTCGTGGACGTAGACCTGATCCTGAAAGGGTACATGTCTTTGTAAATATACCAGCTCCATCTAATGTTAAAATGCTTCAGTCATGTTTTTGGAAATGACTAACTATTATAGTCACTTTGTGCCGAATATACAAGCCCTTCTTGCTCCTCCATTGGATGCACTGTTAACTAACAACACTACATGTAACTGGAATAAGGAATGTCAAGTGTCCTTTTAAAAAATGAAACAGATCTTGGCGTCTGATTTATTGCTTCCTCACTATGACCCAAACCTTGAGTCAATGGCAGCGGCTGACGCATCTGATTCTTCATAAATTTCCTAATGGGTCACGAAAAACCATTTTTCATGCTTCACGCACGCTTACTGTAACTGAAAAGAATTATAATCAGATCGAAAAGGGGGCTATAGCCCTAATGTTGGTGGTCAGGAGGTTCCACAAGATGCTATACGGTAGGAATTTTACCTTGGAGACTTGCCATAGACCGTTGCTGGCCACATTTAGCTCTAAGAAAGGAATACTTATTCACATTGCAAATCGGCTAACTAGGTGGGCTACTATGTTGCTAGGATATGACTTCGAATAACTGTACAAGCCGTCAGCTCGTATGGGTCATACAGACGGGTTGTCGAGGTTAATTGCTAATAGTTTCAGATTAGAGGAAGATAGCGTGGTTGCTTCCATATCACTTGCACCGGAAATAGAAAGTCTTTTGTGATACTATCAGAATCCTACCAGTAACGGCAGAAGCGGTTGGAAAAGCAACGGCAAATGATTCTCTACTCAAAAGAATAAGAGGAGCTGCTATAAAGGGTTAGAAAGAGGATAGAGTGGATTGAGAGTTTCACAAATTTTTTTGACACATGGGTCTATATCGATTTATGATAATTGTTTGACGTATGGCGATCGCAATGTCATCCCTATACCTCTTCAGTCTTTTTGTGCTTAGTTTCACACTGGTCATCCGGGAATGAACAGAATGAAGGCAGTTATACGTAGTTATGTCTCTTGGCCATTCATGGATAAGATTGTGGAAGAACACTTATTGAGATGTCGTCGATGTCTCGAAGGTGCAAAAGATCCATTGAAAGTGAAATCCCAGTCATGGCCAGAGAGGAACAAGCCTTGGGTCCGAGTACACATCAATTATGGTGGACTGTGATAAGCGGACAATATTTTTTGGTGGTGGTATATTCATACTCTAAATGGCCTGAAATCCATGCTGTATGAAAACCCCCTACATTTGAAACACTGTTACATCTCAGACAACTATTTGGTAGGTTTGGAACACCTAATGTTTTGGATTCAGACAACGGAACGCAATTTACATCGAGTTTTCGGAGTTCTGCAAACAAAATGGAATTGAGCACATTAGAACTCCACTGTATCACCCTAAGTCAAATGGGCAAGCAGAAAGATTTATTGATATTCTTAAGCGAGCTCTTCTAAAGATGGGAGGAGAAGATAACGTAGAAGAGGCTCTGCAACAGTTTATAATTTCTTATGGAATTAAACCTAATCCAAACTGTCCAGCCGAAATAATATTTGGCCGACCAATTAGTACAATTTTGATGTTTTGAACCCGAAAGATAGAACTAGTAGGCTACAAAGTATAAAGAGAATAGTCAGAAAATTCGAGAATTTCAAGGGGGTGACTTAATTTATGCACGTGATTTCCGACTAGGAAAGCCAAAATGGATATTTGGGCGTCTGAATAAAAGACTTGGGAAGATATTATATGAAGTAATGGTCGAAAATACACTAATTATTAGACAAATAAATCAACTACGAGACAGAAAAAGTGTTAGTGAGTCATCTAAATCCAAACCTTTGCCAGTGGAAGTACTTTGTGAAACACCCAATATTCCACCACCACCTCATGTTGAAATGAGAAATCAGTTGAAATCAGAAGCTAACCGAAGGTCATCAAAAGAAGGGAAACAAACGAGATTTTCTCAAATAGACCTAAATTTTAAGTCATATGACCAAACTTTGCGAGGCGCTTATGTGTGGGCGAGAATGATAATGACTGATCATTAGCTTAGTCAGACTAATAGATAGTCTGACAGGTACTAGATGAGTTATATATTCTCTCACCCTCACTATTATTATTATTATTATTATTATTATTATTATTATTATTATTATTATTATTATTATTATTATTATTATTATTATTATTATCAGAATGTGTTTTGTGGAGATTTTAGAAATTTCACAGATTGAAATCATGAGTGCTTCCAGGTTTTCAATGGTGGTTTAGCTTCAACTGACTCATGATTTCAATCTGTGAAATTATTATTATTATTATTGGATTGCTGACTGACTGTTATTGGTCTTTGGTGTGGAAGTATATATACGTTCTAGTCAGGCTAATCATGTGTTCTTGGTCTGAGTTGTGTTGATGTCGTCTAGAATAGACACTGAGAGTGAATCTAGTGTAGATATTCGTTTAAGGCAAATTAACGTCCTATTTGTGTAGACGAGAAATCCGTCCGTTTAACAATCTCATTTAAACCAAGTTTAATCCAACGCTTTATATCTTCAACTTTGATTAATTCTTAATTTGACGCGACAATCATCGGTTGTTTGTTTGATTTATTTGTTTGTTTGTTACCGGTATGCTACATTTTACTCAAAGCTTTTCATTAATAAACACCATTGCTTATTTATGGTATAAATTTTATTCTGTCGATCCATTAAACCTTTATTGCTAGAGTATATGCATTAAACGAAGCGGATAAAATGTAAAACTAAGATTTGATGAGTTCGTAATCTAATTTGTTAGGTCTGTTTCTAATTACCAATATGAAATATGTACATTACTCGATTGCTCTATTATAGGTTTCTTACTTCACAAGTGTATTTCCATATATCATGTTAACAATTCTTCTCATACGAGGAGCACTTCTCCCAGGCTCAGGAGCAGGTGTACTTTATTATTTAACACCTGATTTTTCACGATTAACAGATCCCCAAGTATGGGCTGATGCTGCTACACAGATATTTTTCTCTTTGGGCTGTTGCAACGGTGGTTTAATAACTGTGTCAAGTTATAATAAATTTAAGAATAACTGTTGTAGGTAAGTGAACAGTATGGTGTTACATCACTGGCATAGTTTTGTTTGTCTATATTCATTGATATATGATTATGTTATATCGTCATGTCTATCAATTGTCTATTGATGCTCGATTTTCCTAGTTAAAATCCCTTTCAAGTAATTGGTCTTATGACACTCAATAGTAAATTATGGCCCTTACTGTCGAAAGTAATTCAGCTTTAGTGGTTTACATGATTACTCGATGATGCAATACATTTTGCATGGCAAACTTATGTGAAATCTTAAAAATAATAGACTAAAATAATGATGGGCCTAGGTACACCGGACTGTTATTATTGTTGACTAGGATGAAATGTCAGTCCAGTTATTTCAAGTTTTTAGCAAAGTTTTAGATAAGGCTAGTATTTGGTTTGAAACCTGAAAGAATATTATGTTTAGTACAAATATCTATGCTGAAAACATTGTCAAGTTTGATTTTATTTACAATACCTGTCAGTTTTCACTGTCCGATTTTCTTCTCCTGTTTTCCATCGTTTTCTATTTTCAAATTTTATTTTTAAGACGTTTTATCATTTATATGTGAAGCAAATAGAATTGATGATACATGAAATTCATTCACGTTTAACTTTTGGATGTAAACCCATATTCACTAAGCTTTAAATTTATTGAGAAGTAATGTCAGTATAATGTTACATGTTTTGTTGTACCTGTTTGATTTATTATTATTAGTAGTTGTAGTAATATAATTATTACTAATCTAAGGATTGGGACACTAACAAGTTTACATTATGAGTTATTATTTGTATTGTTATTTTGCGTGTTTCGTCACTAAATAACTCGGTGCTTTTTATAATCACCATTTATACAGATCTTAAAATTGTAACAATATCATTTTTAGTAATACAACAGAACATTATTGCCTGCTCATGTATATGATGAAAACGAGGATTTAAAGTGCTACTTAAATGAGTTATGTTTGAAACCCTTGGCTTCTATTACCACATTAAGCTGTTGGAGGTAGTTGGCCGGAAACCCTAGACGTATGTTTCATCCTAGTTGACACGTGACAGCAAGACGTAACTGTACTCTTGAGTGGATTGATGCTACAGGTAGGATTAAAAGCCGTTTAACCCTGCCTCACAGTCTGAGAAGTGACCGCTAGCTTATTCAGGTTACAACCATCTTCTATAGGATTCAGATATTTATAACTGACTTATCATTCTATAGTGAAAGATGCCGAAGTACACCATAAAACTGGGTGATGCAGGTTAGCATTTTAAGTACCACTTCAATTCACTCTAGATATTGTAATTATACCTCCGGAAGGGTTAACGGCTAGCATAAAACAATAGGTCCAGGGTTACCTACCAAATGATTACCTTCAGTCACCTACTATCAGACGAACATTTAATGTCGATTTATTTAGACCATTGATGTTGTCAAATTCCAACTTGATCTAGATAATTCAATGAGCATTAATTAAAAACACATTAGTAGTTAATTGGTTGTACGTATAATCATGGCTTACACATCATACAGTTAAATATTATTATTGTTATTATTTTCTCATTGTTATCATCATATACTTTTACAACTTCACTTTCACTGAATAATTTAAATAGAGATGCTGTCATTGTGGCAATCATTAATTGTGCAACTTCTGTCTACGCTGGTTTTGTGATATTTTCTAATTTGGGTTTTATGGCTTATCAAAAAAATACAACAATTTCTGAAGTTGCATCCAGCGGTAAGTGACTTCAAATTGCATGCCCATGTGTTTGTGTTTTATCCACAGACAGAAATTTTGTGTAGATTGTCGTGATGTGTTTGTTACTGTTTTATTTTCATTTCTATTTCGTTAACATTTTCTCATGTTCTTAGGTTTTTGTTTTCGTTTCTCATTGATTAATATTGACCCCATCTGTGTGTAATGTCGATTTGTTTGATAGGATTAATGGATCGATGGTTGCTTTTGTGTAATATAAACATACTATCTTGTTCTGTGTGTGCCTATTTTTCGTTCCCACCAACATGAATCAAGTAAATTTGCATTTTTTTGCGATTCATAGTCGAATTTGTAAAATTATTTATACGTATTTCGGCATGACGGCTTAATAATCGACTGGAGGGGATTGGACATTAAAGTATGTATAACCAACTAACACCTACTTCAATGCATTATGGATTAGGTTGACAGAAATCTGAGGGCTGACAAGCCGGGGCATAGACAGCTCATAAAGTCAACGAGTTTTGGATTGAACCGTCTTCATACATATTTGTGTTTGGGCCAGTTTTGCAACCAATAAATGGAGATTTTACATGATATCGATCAGAATCGATAACATTAACTCTAATAAACATATTCTTGGCCTTCCGATGTATCTTGAATTTTGAAGAAACCTTATGGTATGGAGCTTGCGAATTTTCTCAAATCATATTATTTTTTCGACAACCACAGATACTGTTACTACTTAAACTATTCCAGCATTTGACCTGATAATTTATTCTTATTGTGTTGTTACGACGTCGCAACTTGAATCAATGAAAATATGTACCCAATTCTGCGTTATTTTTAATCGATTAACTAATAATCATCAGATACGAAAACCTGCAATAGACATCACGCCGCTCTGATCTATCGTTGCTTGCTTGAAATGCTAACAAAAGAAGATGCGTTGTAGGATAAAATGTTTCCATTTGATTTCGACGCTTTGTTATTATTTTAACAACAACAGGCTTACAACCTAATGTTATAAAGTTTTTTATTGTACATATCCATATCAGTTTGCAAATTGTGTATCAGTGTGTTTGATGAATATGTTAACCTTTCTGTTAAAGTTGTGAAGTTGCTTTATGCCGATTGTTGGAATAAACTTAGTATATTGAGAAAAACAACCGGGATTTTTTAATGTGATGAAGAATTATAATGAAGACTACGAATATTGCATAGGTGATATAAGGTCACGATAACAGTCGATTGCCTAAGCTCAGAACAGGTTTGGTTTCTAATTCATTTTCTATTGTGTGTTTGAATCTTCCTATTGATATTTAGGACTGCAATTGATCAGCTGACGAGTTCCAAATAGTACAAGACGCGCGTCTTAAATTGCGCTGCTAGCCCCCATTCATTTTTGCTCATAAGTTTCATTTTCTGATGATATATTTTATAGCTGGTCAATTGTGTAAATGATGAATGGAAGTGAGGAGAGTTATTAAGAGCAATAATCTTCTAAGAAAAACGTTGAGACAGTTTAGGTCTGATTTTAAATAAATCCTAGGGATTCACTTGTATTGATTGTGCGAACTTTCCCATTGATGTTTGTCACTTTAATTGATCAGGCACTTTTATATGAGTGCCGAAGTGAATAACAACTCTGGGATGCGGTTATATCCAACTGATGGACCTCAAATAGGACGAAGCCGGTGTCTTTGATTCCACTGGTAGCCACTATACGTCACTGTATCGAATAGATTCTTCGATTTTTTTCAACAATAAAACTGGAAATCGAACACATGTATTGTCATGGATGCGTGATCCATCTTTGCTTATGATGCTTGTGACTTAAGGTAATATCAAGGTAGTCCGCACAGGATGCCTATATGTCAAAATGAGACTGATCAATTGCAGTCCTAAACATCAATGGAAGGGTTCAAACAAATAATGCAAAATAAATTAAAACTTCACCCCATTGCACAAGCTAGGGGCTTGTATTTTCTGTAGACAAATCCCGCGAATAGCAAGTTTGATCTGAATATGAAAGTACTTCATGAACCTTATAGTGGAGTCGAACGATACGAGACCAAAAACATGTATGTGATCTGGAGCGGAAGAAATACCCAACTACGTGAGTAATAGGTGACTCAATTTCTATAAGCATCAGAGAGATACAGGCAAATATATATACACATACGTACTAGCATATACACTCATGCATAAAATATCCAGAAGATTACATGTGGTCGAACATATGAGTGATAGAATAAATGAAAATATTAGAATGGTTCATGTTGACTTGAGATGCTACTAAATGTCACACTTTTTTTACTTATGATTAAACGATAATTTGTTTTTATTAATTTTATGGCTTCGGAAATGTTTTTCTTTTAACAAAAAGTGACTTTTGTTTGAGCAGAAAATCGTTGCAGTACAGTGTTTTTATTCATCATTTTTTTTTACAATGATATAATTTCATAATTATCATTTTTATTCTTTTAATCATCAAGGTCCTGGACTTGCTTTCATTGTATATCCTGAAGCAATGACAAATATGCCACTTTCTAGTTTATGGTCGGTTTTATTCTTCACAATGATGTTAACACTTGGTTTCGGTTCACAGTTCTCTATATTGGAGACTACTCTTTCTGGTATACAGGATGAATTCAGACGATTAGGTGTTCATCTAACTGAAAGACGTAAAATTGCGTTCCGGTATGTGTTTAAACTAAACAAAAAACTATCAGCATCGTCTGTTTTTATGTTTGTTGGAAGTTATTTTAATTCAGAACCGACCCAAACTAGGGGACCGTTGAAAGTCAGGATGTACTGGACAGTTATCGCGTTCTACCACTGGGCTGCTCACCAGTCTGCATAAACGACTCGACTAACATTAGATATGTTAATCTCTTGAGACCAGCTCAGTGATCTAAAGATTAAGGACTCACATTGAGACTGGAATGTCCTGGGCTCGAACCCAAGTAGGTTGTATATCACAACTGCCCAGTAGTTCATGCTAAGACGAAAGAGCTATTCAGTGCTTCCTGGTTTTCAAGGTTCCTTTAACTAAGGTCAATTACTGATCTCAATAAAAAAATTCGGTTATTTGTTTCAATTTCATTACTATGTTGTTTCATTAATTTGTGTATCGTGAAAATAAATATCACATAATTAACTTAGATATTTATGGGTGACACACTCCTTATGGGTTTGCTTTTCTGTTTTAATTACTTTTTATAAATTCACATGAAAACAATCTAGGCTAAAATTTCAAGTCCTTATCGTTTAGATATGCAAAATGAAGATCTATTTGTGTATAGGTTTATTCAAATATGACTAGATTGTATGTTGAGAGATGAAGGCAAATAAATAAATGGGTCAGGCACAACAATAAGTTTAATGTTTCACAAAGGAGAATTGAGGAAATAAAACCATTTTACTCAGAATACGGGAAATTCAGGTCAAGTTATATTTAAAATTTCAAATAAGGAAATTGATCTACTGAGGTTAATTTTTTTTTTCAAACTGCTTTATCTATATCGCTTGATCCTAAGGTTATTAGTAATTTAACATAAATCGTAAAAGCTGATCTGTTTATCTTAACATAGATAGGATAAGACAGCTTTAAACATTAGTGCATATTGATTCATTCCAGCCTACAAAATGTTGGAATAAGTGAGGTAGGGATTTATTACAGCTGATTGAATTATGTCATTCATGTGACTGTACAAAACTGATTTGTGAACAGATTCAGAAACTACGCAGTTAGTGGTTAATTTATAATTCAAGACCAGAAATGATCTGCGGAATATTTTCGCTACGATTGATAATGACATATCTCTGTAGTTCACTTTGATTGTGGATGCTGGAAGTGTATGCATTTTTAGTAGGTTCTTTTTTATTATTGTATGATTGTCTGATTGGTTATGATATGGTTATGGTATAAATTTAATTTTGACGATTATATTGGCAAATTCTGCATCTTTTGAACTAGAGAATACATTCACGCAAAAAAACCGATTTGACTACATGACCAATTTTCTCTGTTGAATCCTATACCTAATTGCGTAATTAAGTGATTAATATTATTTTGTATTTTATAATTTACTTTATTGTTTAATGGGTTTTACGTCACGTACAATAGATGTTGTTTCTCCAACATCTCATTCTTCTTTTAACCTGTATCATCCATACACGCACGCTGTCTTTAGAGAATATAATATATATCATTTAAAGTCACTGCAAATATGTATTTATCTTAATTATGTTAACAATTCTCATCTCTTTAAATGAAATGCTTAACATTTAATTGGGTTTTTTTACGGAAGTTATAGTTTTTATCTTTTGTTTCATACAAACGATATTGAAGTATAATTTTACATTGATGAATGTAGACGTTTCACATCTGCATGGTGAAACAGTTAGTCAATACCACAACAGCTTATTGGTAACTTATATGAATCAAACTGACTTAAATCTCATATGGAGCAATAGTTTGGTCAAAAAACTCCAAACATCTTTTGCTATAAACGATGCCAATTAGAGATTTTTAGACGAAAATCAAATATTTTACCGGTAGTAAATAAATTTTTCTTCAGAATGGGTTTTGTGGAGATTTTAGAAATTTCACAGATTGAAATCATGAGTCAGTTGAAGCTAGACCACCATTGAAAACCTGGGAGCACTGGACGGCCGTTTCGTCCTAGTATGGGACTCCTCAGCAGTGCGCATCCACGATCCCGCACCACGCGTGTCTCGAACCCAGGACCTACTGGCTTCGCGCGCGAGCACTTAACCATTAGACCACTGAGCCGGCATCCAACGGTGTTAATGTCTAACGGCCGTCCAGTGCTTCCAGGTTTTCAATGGTGGTCTAGCTTCAACTGACTCATGATTTCAATCTGTGAAATTTTTCTTCATTTAGTGAATTATTCAAATAATGTCGCATAAAAAAATCAACAGTGGTGAAATTATTTTTACTTAAATGCTTTTTTAAAGTATATTAAGTTTATTAAATTTACACTTGTTATGAAATACACTTCAAGCTGACTAAAATTTTAAAGTTCAAATTTCATCGGATTTCGTTCGATCTAACAGTTTGTGTACATGTGATATTCAATGAAGAACAATATAAGTATTGGATTGGACAACACGTGGAGCAATAACGTTCGCACTATGTTCAAATAATTCGAAATTAGGATAAATAGTATTGTAAACAACGAAGACTTGTTAAGGTAAAAGCCAATTTTTTTATTTATACAAAATTCACACTGTGCTTCTGTAGAATATGAAAATCAAATATTAATTCTTTCATCTGTATATCCTCTCAGAGTTCTGCTCTACATACTCTATAGTTTTTTTAATCCTGTTATTTTGATTGCTCTCTATTTTTCATCCTTTTCTTTGTATTTCAATCTTCTGCTGGTAAGAATTCCACTTCTTATTTCTGCTACATACTACTTATGTCTGTCCGTATTAACAGAGCACACCATAATATTTTTGATAATGAAACATTTTGTGCAAATCATCTCACCATTTATTGTTTTCCCCAGTCATAGATTTCGTTGTCATACACATTGTTTTTCACAACTAAGATAAAATATTGGGTAAATTGGTGATAACATTAAATATGATTATTTTAATGTTTATTCCTATAATGAGCAATTTCCTTTCGACATTCAAATCTGATTGGATAAATCATGATTTCCAATATGGTAAAAACATCTAATACATCAAACCATTCCTAACAAAACACAACCAGTTTTGTAACAAAATTTTGAAAAGGAAAGTGTATCTGCTTGAAAAAAAGCTATGGTAAAATCGAGTATATAACTATTACAGATAAGTAGGATGTTCTAATGTCTCAGCTAAATTATGACGTACTGTTTTTTAGTTTAAGTAGTCCATTAGATTGCAGATTACTTCATGAGACAAAAAATAATTCAAATTCCAAATGGTTGATTGTGAATACTTAATGCGTTGTACAATATTTTTAAGGTATTGCACTTTCTCGTAAAAGTGAACAAAATCGATGATATTTCAATTTGTTTGGGTGGTGTTTTCGCAAAAACTACGTTTATCTGAATGATAAATTCGTTGTTAGTGTAGTATACATCAAATGGTAAATATGAACTTATGAAAAACAATGTTCTCCGTTTAATTACATAACTTCGCGGTCAAATTTTTTGGGTTTGCATTACTGAATTAAATATGTATCCATGTATACTAGTTGACAGTTCTCTTCGTTACTATAATAATAATAGTAATAATAATAATTTTTTGACATATTTACAGGATATCAGTATGTTGTTTGAATTTTTTCATGGGATTGCCAATGGTTTGTGCTGGTGGATATTATCTTGTAACAATATATGACAGTGTAATGAGTGGTTATGCTCCATTAATTGTTGCACTAAGTGAAACGGTCGTCATTACATATGTATATGGTAGGTCAGATGGTAATTACTTTATTCAAAAGTTTCGGTTTATTTTAGTTATTTCAAATATGATAGAAAAATGTTTGTTTTTTGTTGTTTAATAGTAAGATAGTTCGGAACTAATTAGAATTAAGGATTAAATTGGAAACACAAATATTAACAAAATCTATCAATAGCTTTATCTATATTGATTCTTTTCATTATGAAATAAACATAAACTTGAATAACAGTTAAAAGAAAATAAAGAATTATTAGTTTTATGATTTATAAAGAAAATTAACGATTATTAGTGTTTACGTTTTCAGTTTATTCGATAAAATTTGATCAACAAAAGAACTAGACAAATTTGGCATCTAGTATTAAAAAATGGTTATTCGAAAATTAAAATTAGGGCCTTTTCATGTCTTCACTGTTGAAACTTCTTGGAATCGACTGTGAAATTGACATTTTGAGAAAAAATTCAATGTTTAAAACGTACGATCGTCCTCAGAAAAATAAATAATTTGAAACTAATTTAAACTAACCGCTTAAACATATAATAATGTGTATTTAAACAAGCATTATAAGCAGAGATGGATGGTGGCTTGTGATCAAAGGCAATATTGAGACAATCCGCACAGAATACGCATATGCCAATAAGAGACTGATCAATTGTAGTCTTAAATATCAGTCGGAAGATTCAAACAAACAATACAAAAATGAAGTAAATAAGGTTTCCGGAAACATTTAATGTTCGTACAAATCAGCATTTTAGAAAATGGTCTCATTGATACTTATTACAGAAAATTGATTATTATCTGGTGATTAAGCTTTTTCTATTATCTGCCTTGTCAAATAGTTATTTCAAAATTGCATTAGTTAAAATTTTAATAAAACAAATGGTGTTTATTTCATTCGAGGGATAATTGTTTTTCAAGTCTAGCTTCGATTGACTTGGTGTATTTGACATTTGTCCGATACGTCCGAATGTGCTACGAATGGATCGAACTTGACATCACTTCACTCCAACACTTTGTCCATTATGATACTTCTTTATATAACAAAATGGCTGCTCAGCTTTTCAGCTTATAACAAATTTTTCCATTCAGTTTTGATCCACTTCTTTTGCGTCAGAGCAATTGTTACTTACCATTGCCTTGAACTGAAATGTATGGGTTAGAGCAGAAAAGAGAATTTTTACGTAATAATTCTGAGATAAAAATACATTATTTCAATTAGTTAATGTCAGGAATAATGGGTGATAGTATTGGATAATTTATAAATAATGTAAGCGAAATTGTCTACACAATTTTATGCACTTTTCATAAAACAAATATCGAATTCATCCATTCTATCACTTAGAAGATTTCAATTTCTATAAATAGCAAGTAAGAAAGTTTGCTACTTCATGAGTCGGCGTCCAAAGATTGAATTCTAACTGTAATTACTTTGCAATTTAATCTGTGAATAGATTTCTAGTTTATTAGTTTTAATGTTTATCCAAAATATGATATTTAGCTGATTCCATTGATAATTGATTTTCCATTCCGTACATATTTAAACTGTACCAAACATGATTTCTCACTAAATATTTCTGGAACATCTTGGAGCATGTAGTTAGTAAGCCAACTATTGTAGTATAGTTGAAAGTGTTTTGTGAAGGTTAATTTGCTTTCATTGAGATGAATTTGTGACAGATACATTATACCTACTTCATTTAAAACAAAATAATATCTTAAATGCCTTTTATAACTTACCTAATTACTGCAACTTTGTTTTTTTAATACATTGTACTACATGTACTACATTGTACAATCTACTGATGGTGGGAACATCGGTTCCAATTTCCCCACCAAGCTATTCAACTTACATGGTAGGTTTGACCTGTCGGCTTAATCTCTATGTGTCGATGTGATATGGCAACTTGAACTGATTTACATAAGTACAGGTTCTACGTTGTGACCGACTGACACATATGGCAGGATAATGTAGACGGCTATGTTGGGTTCTTGAATCATATTAGGTCGCAACATAATATAGTCATTCAATCGATTCATGAGTTTTTTATAGATATTCTCCATCAAGGTTTCCTTCATCAGTTTTACTTCATCTTCAATTATAATATCTTTGCACAGATACGGTCATTCCTGTTGAATAGATACTGGGTAATAACTATGGCCACCTAGAAACCTCTCTCAATCAATGTAGACAGATTGCTTAATTTGATAGTCTTCTCTTTGACTAAAATGTACCAAGTTTACGGATTTACTTGTATGTTCATGCATATACCTAGAATGCAATAATCGTAATTGCAAAAAATATTTGTTGTCTATTCAAAATGTTAAAAAAAATATACATAGATTTTTTACATAGTGATAAATTTATTGCAGTTATATGCTATCACTTTTGTTCATTGAATCACTCTTAGGTTTAAGACAATTTCGATGCGATATTGAATTGATGATAAATGAACGACCTAATTGGTATTGGCGTATTTGTTGGCTTGTAATTACACCAACTATTTGTCTTTTACTAATTATTTCTGTATTAACAAATCGGATTGAATTAAAAGAGAAGAATTATTCTTTCCCACCTTGGGCATATGTATTATACCAATCACTATCTGCTGGGACTGTATTATTAATCGTTGGTTGGTTTATTTATAAATACTGCAGTGAAGGTGGTTTTCTAGTAAGTGACTTATTGATAAGAACTTATTGCTTGAATTCCTTATCTTTGTTGCAGTTAGAACAACACTTGGAAAACTCCATATTATTTAACTATTTTATTCTAAAGTGAACAACTTGAATATTTTATCTCAACTACGCAACCATTTGAAATATTCTACTTATCTCCTTATTGATCTGCATTTAATAAGTATACAACGTTTACTCAGTTTTCATAGATTTTGTTTTTTGTTTAAGACAGATCTGTATATAACAATAAAATTAACGCAGTAGATCGAGTTCAGGTATTTGTAGATCCTTCATCTTGAAAGTGATATCCTCAATGTAATAAACCGAAATTCAACGAATAAGCATATCTAGCTTCGTTCAACCTTAATGCAAGAAAAAAATCTGTTCAGCAGAATTTCATGTAGCTTATTTATTGCCGCTATATACTATACAGTAATTAATTTGTCCTAAGCCATAGTTATCAATTATAGTCTTTAGTTGGTAAAATAGAAAAACACTATAGTAAATCGTTAATTTGCAAAATATCATTTCATCATATCAAACCGGACTGTTGCTTTTGCAATCATCAATCCATTGTCTCACATTTTATGGCTCATGCGTTTATTTTTACATATTGGATTGCGTTCCCGCTCTTCCTTTGTTGATCTTTCCCCATCTTCTGCTGCCAGACATTACGTTCTCTAGCTTGCGTCATGTACTACTTATATCAATATAAGTAGCACACCAAAATAGTTCATTCTTGTTTATTGAAGAAAAAAAAACACATTGATTCAATGTATCACATATTTAACCTTGTAATTCAAATTTAAGGATAGGTTGTTTAAGTTGTTTCTATTACCATAAATTGTAATAATAATTAGTATGATAGTTTGGTGGGTAGCCAACTAGTCTGAGCTTCTTCAAGGAAATAATCAGATACAAAGTCATTCAAGAGTATGTAAGATTTTTAAAATACTAAATCTTTCTAAAATGTTTGTCAAATCAAGTCCGGATGTTTATTTTGTGCATGGTAATCAGGGTTATGAGATTGATGTATAAATCGTTTACAGTGTGAAAAAAGTGCATGAATCCCTGTCTGTATACATATCCATATGCTATTGTCGTTAAAAAAATACTGTGAGGAATAATGTCTCTGACTGCTAGAAAAGATAAATTCATCGTCTTGCTTTCCATATTACTGATGGTACTTATGAGTTAATTAATTTAGTCAAAGTGTGTCATAATTGAAAATAGTCGTATAGTAAAATAGAGGAGTTTTAGATAGCCATCAAATATATTTAAACTTATTCCAGTGGAAGTCAATCAACATGAAGTGATGTTGCGTGGTAAAGTAGTCAAGCATATTAAAAGTTTTAAAGTATTTCAAACAATCATTTACAAATGAAAAGGTGTTATTCTAATGTAATCCAAGTATTCAAGTACTAAAAAAAAGGTTACATCACTTCAAAAAGTAATCATCAATCATTAAGAGCTTATGTTATGTAATAATTTCGAAATAAGTAGTAATCTATAGAGTAGAAGTTGACCGTCTACTTAGTAAAGAAGATAATAATTAGGAATTATAATTTGTAAAATTCGAAGGGGTTCTAAGACCATGACAAAATAAGGAGTTGAACATGACTTCTGTACACAGTCCAAGTTTGAAATGGTGAATTGCTATGGCCTTGACTGTGTATAAATTCCTCATTCGAACGTTGTTTCAGCTAGTTCTTATGTTGTAGAGGATTTTTAGCGTAGAAGCGTGTGGCGAGCTGTAACCTGAATTGACTATCTGTCTGACGACTGAGCTCTTGATTGATTTGTATGCTACTTTAAATAACTATACACCACTTGGATATTTCTTTACCGAGTGGGTTCTTTGTACGACCAATGTAACCTGTTTCACAAGAAAAAATAAAGTACCTATGAATACGATTGTACAGCTATGGGAAATGATATCGTCGAAAAAAAATATTCTATGTTTAAGCGTCGCATAGTTCATTAAGATGTTAAATTAAAGACAATCATAGATAAATAATGTGTTACATTTTATCAGTATAGGGTTTTGGGGATTGTTGAGTTTTAGATAAGATGTCAGACCACCACTGAAAACTTGGGAGCACTAGATGGTCGTCTCGTCCTAGTATGAGACTCTTCAGAAGTGTACATCCACGATAACGCGTGCTAACGCTTAACCTCTAGACTGATAGTCTGTCGTTCGACGATGTTAATGTCTAACTTCAACCAATCCACGACATTGTGCAACCATCTTCCATTGTCTGCCTCATATGCTACATGGTTGAACTCCATTGGTTACGGTTTCTCACTTGAACTCCTAAGAAGTTACTTTTTATTAGGAACAAAATCCAGGTAGTATAGACAGGTTAATTATTATAATCCATGTTTTTTAATTTGATAATCACCATTTACCACTGATTAATTTACTGAATTCTGTCTCTTCTGTTAATAATATTAGACAATTATAGTTTATTCTGTGATCATTTTTAACTTGAATTATTTTCCATGAATTATTAGAACAGTTTTAAATTTTAATCACTGAGATTAGATTATTTATATCTATGTTTTTGCATAACTAATTGTAAGTATATGATTCATATTATTTTTTTAAGTTGTATAACTTCACATCAATTATATGCTTTATATTAAATAAAATAAGTACATTTTAATTCTTATTATTCTACGACCATTACATCTCCGAATATTGCTCCACTGCATTGTGGATAAAACCTCTATGTCAAAAGCTCCAGGATTAGTGGCTCCCTGCTTCGGTTTGAGCACATGGGCATTATCCCAACCCTCACACAAGTCGAATGATGAAGTGTGGAGCATTTTTATTTGGTGCCTCCCTGAACCAGTATTTATGTGCTCAAGTAAATAAATATAAGATCGTAAACTATAAAAATAACTACTGAAAAAAACCATGAATGTCTCAGTTTCATGTTGAATAAATAAAATTACACATCATTTTTATCAATGGATTTAACTAGAAAATGATTCATTTGAAAACAGTACATAGTTGTTGATTCTTCATTTTGCTATCGGTAGGCCATTGTCTCCGTTTTGTCTTTATGTATACATTTGTAATAATCAAGGAAGTATTGTGATGTTTTATTTGACAATTGTATTCAAAGTAAAAATTCTTACGTGTTTATATGTATGGCCATAAGTTTTCAACTTGGAGTAATCTCAAACTTGTGAAAAACAATAGTTCAATTTATACCATCTGATTCTTTTTCAAGTATTTCTTATTTCGTTGTGAAATTTAACACTAATACTACAAGCAATTTGTGGAGATTATTGAGTTCTAAAGTTTGCACCACTAATTAATTTTAGTTAAACTATCATTGAAAATCAAGAAGTGTTTTACAACTAACTTTTTCTATTCTGGATCTCCTTCAAGAACCAACCTGTAAGTTTTAAACTTTCAGCTCTCGTGGCAGATGCCTGACCTCTAGGTCAATAAGCCTTCAGCCAATGATCTACATACCTAACTTCAATTCGTTTGCATGGCTGTGAAGTTCAATACTAGGACGAAACAGTTCAATGACTCTTGGTTATCAATAGTTGTTCAACTTGAAACATTTAGCGATATTAGCAAAATTATTATTGTCACGTTTGTCTATTTAAGAACAATTAAATTTAGACAAATAGTTTTTTTCTTTTTTCTTTGAATAGTTATTAAAAGAATTCCTAAAACCTGTACATGAATGGGGACCAGCCGATAAACAACATCGCGCTGAATTTATATCAATGATTAAATCTAACGAGTCACGTATTAATGAAGCTGGTGGCAATCTTTATACATCACCGATTGGTGGACCAACTACCATAGAAGGCAGTCAATTACAATTAGGTTATGGATTAAATAGTTCACTTAAAAGTGGTCTGGCTGCTGCTGGTGTTATAGATGATACTAAATTCTTTCAAAGTAAATTAAATGTTGCTGAAAAACTTACACATGCTCATACAAAAGAAGTAGTAAAACGAGTCGTCAGCAATGCAGATATTAATCCAGCCAACGCTGCTGCATTATTGTCAGCAAGTCAAACAGTAAGTAAACATAATTGTTTTTACTTATATGTTTTCATAGTTTAAATTGAGGTCTAATTAAACCGTTGAAAACCCTCAAGAATTGGACGGCTATTTTGTTTTTCTATAATTTATACAAATACACGTATACTGATATTAAATATTCCTAAATATTTGTATTTTTTCCTTTTTGGTGATGTGGATCCATGTATGGTCACTAACTTGACTTTATTTATTCAATGTAGGACTAGCACAGTTCACGCTTTGTGTAACTGAGGGCTTCAGTCATACTTCTAATAACCTCGCTGAAGTAGACATTGCTTTAGGTCCAAATACTGAGCTGGTTCTCCTGGGCTGAATTCCAATAAACAGTCTAATGTACACAGTCTAATTAAACGGTACAGCAAACATTTAGAAGGATAATAACATACCCTCTTGCTTCTGCTGTCTCCGGTTATGTGCGCATTTACTTGAGAAGGAAATTGAGAACTTTAGTTGCTTCAAATTACATAATCCTGCATTTATTTTGTTAAGTGTGCAGTTCTAAATGCGAAACATATATTTAACACGTTTTATTTTTGTGGTTAATTTATTTTTTCAACTCTAACGTTTGTATGGGAATTTCGAAGTGTGTTTATTATACTAATGTGAATATTTAATGAATAGCTAAAAATTTAGAAAAATCAATGGCAGTATACCAGATATAGAATGTTTTGCAACCACATAGAATATAGTATTTTCAAATGATTTCAAATCTCAAAAGCCCTTAAATTGCCTCGGTCACTATATTAGAGCTCCCGTTGTTAGTTTTACACATCTTGCTATTGAAATATTGGTAAATTTTGCTTAACTATTAGTTAGGCAAAAGCCATTCATCATAGCGTTTTAAATTTCTACAAGAGATGAAAAGGCTCTGTCATCAATCCGATCGGTCCGTCTGACTGATATTTTTAATGACAAATATTTTTTCATGCTACAATTAGAGTCTTATCATTCAGCATGTTTTGAATGTGACTCGTTTCGTCAATTGATAAAACAATGGAAATCGGAGAGTATACTATGAAACTGTTTCGATTTTTTCTATTGTCCTCAGTAATCTACATACATGTATGATAACATGCTTACGTTAAAGCACGTTATTTGGCTGGTATTTATTGATTCGCAATACTGATTACAATTGTTTCATGATGTAACCCGACTATTACTTTTTTTCATTGATAATACTCAATAAGTAATGAAATTCGCATCAGATAATCGTTGAGTCCTTTGTACCTAATGACTCCTGTTGATCAAGTTACAATGAGATCAGAGATCTAGCTGACTCTACATTGCATACACTACGTTGAAATTGTAGGTGGTTGTAAGTTGTCGACAGGAAATCCGAGACCTAGGCTTTGTTTCGTGCTGGGTGGTACTTATTAGTTAAGGCCTGTCTACAATCTTTAGAAAGTGGTGCCATCCGGTGAGTTGGAGCCCATGATCTTCCTCCTGTCTCATATTCTGAGACATTACCATTAAGTTATATGGCTTGTGACTGAATCCCTATATGATTGAGATATTTACAGTTTGGTATTTGGTTCTTTCCTCTCAGATGCGAAAAGTTACTTCAGGATTGACCTGCGTGAGCAGTTGAATAAATGATAAGGAGTGAAGTCTTTGGATGCATCAGACGCGTCGCTTGTATTAGGAGTCTCATCAGTCCTGGTGTTCTCGAGTCTGACGAAATTTTGGCACTGATTCAAAAGGCTCTATCGGGTCTTGCCGAATTGCGTCACTTGTGGAGTAGTCGAGATGTCCGTCTCAGAACCAAAGACAAGTTCACTGCGCTGCAATTTACCCCAATCTACTTTTTGGATGAGAAACTGAATAATCTATGTCTGGGCTAGGAGTAAGGTACGGCGAGACTATAGTTTATGAATGACATTTGAAGGGATCCCAAATGACCTTGAAAATGTTAGCCACTCAGGAAACAGTATAGAGTAAAAATTTATTATACAAAACGAAAGAATTCAAATGGGTATACGTCGTTTACATGATTCAAAGACTTGTCAAGATTAGAAAGAGATTCAGAAGTTCTAAAATCTTAATGCACACGGTAGAGGAACTCATCCATATGGCCCCAGAATAGTCGGCCTCTGGAGCCATGATAATGTCCCAAAACTTTTTCAGCCCCGATCAATATTGTTTGTGTGCACTCTGTTGTGCAAGCTTGTCATTTTTATTACGCATATATCTCTACAATACTTATACCACTGAAGAGCCGAAGCTTCAGTAACATCTGTGAATGTTGCAGCCAATGTTACTGGTGCTTTTATTGTACAGTTCGCAATGATTACCATAATTTGCCTTAGCCTCAATCTGAGTCGAGCGAAAAAAGTTCCTATTCCAACAGACTTCTTCCTCCAACATATATTACATCGAAAGACAACATCACGGTAGTCTTCACAAGGTCCACAAATCATTTGATTACCACAATCACAAATAAAGTAACTCCTTAGTGGTCACATTTGTTGTAGCCGCTCAGTTATCACATCTCTAAAATCCTCTGTCGACCGATCGTTCGTGAGCATCAGGTACCGAAATTGATTCGTCCATAGATTACAATCTATAGGGTACTACTTAGGGATGACAGATTGATTGATGGGGGAGTAAATATTCATAAAGTGATGTAGTTTTGACATGTATAGTTGCCTACCACCTACCTAGATGGGTGATGTTTACTGGCTGAGAGTAAGCTGGAAGAAAGCTAAGGGGATTGAAACCAAAACATGGCATCAGTCTACTAAGTTATTGACTATTGAACATGGACGTGTTAATAGGTGTAGTCCACGTGGTTGGATTTCTCGTTATTATCGTATACAGTACTTTAAAGACTTTGGATGATATGGCTCAAAATATTTTGCAATGTCACAAATGTATCCATTCTTTTGTCTTCTTAAAAATTTTGAGCTCTTGAATTTCTCATAACTTCTTTTATGTTTTCAGTTCACTAATTTATATCTTCAATAATCGTGTGTTCGATGACCAGTCTTTATATCCCAACTGACACTGTCACTGCCTCTGCTATTCTGGGTTTTCTCCTGATAATTTCATGTTTCTGTGCTAATAATGTATGGCAACTTGAACCATTGTACATATGTACTGGATTCTACGTTATGACTGATCAACTGACTGACAGACGGATGAATACGCCTTGAATACTAAACAAATATCATATTTGTCCTAATCCTTAATTCTGATTCAACTCATTTGAACAATTAAATGTACTACATATGCAGTTATCCATATATAGCTGGCTGATTCTTTTTTTCTCAACACTTCATTTTAGGCATTAGCTGCAGTTAGTTCTGTTGCTCTACTTGGTTCACAACCGTTATCTGGTTGTATTACAGGTAATATAAACATTGATACAAGTGGAATAAAATTACCGGAACAGTTTTTCATATCTTCAGACTGTGATGAAATGAATGAATCAGTCAAGTCTACTGATCAATGAAAAATATAAAAACACTACACTGATTATTCTTTCGTTTTTTGCTGAAAGTTTATCCTATCATTATACAATACATCAACGATTGTGTCTGTGTGTGTGTGTGTTGGTTTATTTGTTTATTAAATCTGACTTATTTTTTTAATGAAATTGTAGCAACATAAATTTAGTGTATGGAAGTAAATACACAAAACAATCCACCCATCCCATATATATATATATATATATATATATATATATATATATATACATAAATTATTAGTTTAACCAAGTAAATCAGTTGAAAAATATCACTATACACGTTTTTTGTTTTGTTTTGGTTTCTTAATACCAATTCTATTGGTTCATTTTTGATTCTTCGTTCTATTAATTTATTCATTATTTACTACTACTACTAATAATAATAATAATAATCACAATGGGTTATAGTTGTGTATGCATGTTATCAACTGCTTCTTTCCTAAATAAACACATCTTATACAACGTATACATGTAGTTAGTTAATGTACATGATGAAAATTCAGTAGTACATTAATTGTTTACTATTTCAACAATTGTTAATAACATTTAATAAAATTATATTTTAATATGACAATCATTATTTGTAATAAATCATACTCTTTAGTATTCTGCATTTTATTATTATGAACAAATATTTGTTTCTGTTTTCTGTTTTCTTGTTCTTTTTTTTATTATAAATTAACCTCAATCTCGATATTACAACTATCCTAGTATTTACTACTGTATTCATTCTAATGTTATGTATATTAAATATGTTAGTAGATGAATAGTAAAATACAAACAAATTAAGTGATGATAATAATAATAATGATTATTGTTATATTTATAATGTTTGATTGAATAAATTTATTCCATAAACTATTTTTATTTTCTTTTGATTGATTGTAGTTAAATAATGAATATACATCTAGATAAATTTATAATTGTTTACCATGTTAGTGATGTGAATCAGTATCCTGTTATTTATTTATTTATTTGTAAAATAAATAGAAATTTAATTAAAATATAAATTATTTATTATTTATTTATTGTCATTTATGGACACGTACTGCTAGGAAGAAACGGCCGTTCAGGCTTTTCAAGATATCAATGGTGGTCAGATATTGGTCAACTTATGATTTCAGTAAAACTCAACAATCATCTCCATATACTGAAACAAGCAATAGACAATAATTGTGTAATTGGGCTACAAAAGTAGTTTAATAAAATATCTGTTCAAACACAATACTATATATGAGAAAAAAGATGTTCTTCTCAACAGATGAATTTACGAATCAGTCTTAGCTAGACCACATGAGAGACGCGAACTCAGGACCTTTTATCGCGAGAACGCTTAACCTCTAGACCACTCAGACAGCATCAGTTTTTACAGTTTTACGCCTAAATTGATAATCTAAAATGTGACTCGATTTGAGGTAAAAAAAAAATACTGCTATAACTGTGACGGCAGATTAGAGGACAGCGAATTATCGATCGGACCAAAGACGCGCAAACACATAAGAACAGCCTACGGTTCTGATTGGTCCCGCTTCCCTGTCTAGCCCAGCCAGTTGAGTCCAGAACGCAAGTCTCAGCCGTAGAGGTATGAATCATTATATTTCAAACATATTCTGTTTATATACCAATCAAGCAGACCACATCGTACCATAAAATAGAAAATAACATTGTACAATATTGACCAGTAGGAAAATGACACGTGGAATAAACATTGACCAATAAGAAAACAACACCATTTCGAGTCCAAGGACAGTGTTAGACGTAACAGAATAATTTTTGGGATATTTTACTTGAATATACCAACAAATACATTGTTTACAATTGTAGAATGTGAATTTCGGACATTTTGTAAGATAAATTACATTTCTTAATCTTGAAATGACTAATACCCAGTTTTAACTTGAATAGGTTTATACATTAAATGTGATTGTGAGATATTAATAATCAAGAATAAATATAGATAACATAGAGTAATTACAAATACAGTTAAATGTTTATTGGAAGACTACGGTGTACGATGAAATATGAATCCAATAAGACTAATGCTAAAAAAATGATTGGTAAGATTAACGGTGAATTTGTACCAATAAAAATTATGTAAGGAAATGTGGATAAAAATAAACAAAATATTTTACAAAGACAGTTTGTGTGCAATTTGGGGCATTCTATATTTAGGATTATTATTGTTCTTTTGGCCATGAGGTTGGTCAGGTTAAGAGAGGAAGAGGTTGGACATATTTTCTTCCAACATGTAGTTCCTGTTTTCGATCCGAATGACTTTCAGGTAGAGTGACATTCGGAGAAAATCCTAGGCTGATGAATTAATGAGAACGACTTCAACTGGCACAATGACTAGTTTGCACTAAATGGGCCTGTATTGAAATGTTCACTGTCCTCACAACACCTTTTTTTAGCTATGCTGAGAGATGTTGATGAACATGAGAATGCAAATTTCTAGAACTTTGGCTGCCATAGCTTGTTTCGCAAGAGCAGTCCAGTTATTAACTACAAAATAAAATGGCTGTCGTAGATGTTTCATCGTTAGTCATGCTTTCACAATCGAGTGCGTGGAAAACACTAGTTCTAGTTCTTAGGATTAAATGTGATTGTTATACGTAATCTGTGGATTAGTATTCTACTGTGCGCATCTCTATAATTTATTGTATACTTTAATTATAAGTAAGTGCGTAGAAGTGATTTATTTCGTCTTCAAGACTTATTGTCATAGATTTGTGAATGCTCAGCTGACTCTACCTTCAAATAAACTTCAACTCAATTGGTGATTATACATGAGAACTCAATTGGCAAAGCAAGCTGATAAATGATAGGACAACTGTTAAGAGAAACTGACGAAACGTTGATAGATACTGGGTCATTTTATGATTGATAGTGATTATTCCCAGCTCAACGTTTCAATTTCATGTTTAGTACAAAAAAAGAAACAGTTTCACACTTGAACACAATATTTAAACAAATAGCAAGCCTTAGAAAAATACTAGCAGGATCGGGACATTATGTTTCTAGTTCATCAGAACAAGATAAAATACTATAATGACCTAGGCTACCTAAGGTCGTTAATCATATTTCCTTACATTCCTGTTTGATTAATTACTTAGTCGATAAATTGACTTTTGGCTACCTCACGACTCATGTTTCATAAAAAGCACTTCTATTTATGTTCAGTCCCTCTATTTTAAAACATATCAAGCATTAAGTTAATGTTTTGTTACTATAGTTAACGTTAAACTCATATTTAGTCTATCGAAAGAAAATGGTAACACAATATACATTTATTGCCTTCTAAACTTTTTACTTTGTACTTTGTAATTATATATTTCTTCTGGTTGCTATTAGCCACACACAAAAACGCATATAACATATAAGTATATACACCGATGATAAACTTTTACTCAGATCGATAATTTATTTCCCTATACTTATCCGCCATCTATAATATATGAATGATTTGAATTCCTTCCATAAAAAACATCCTTACATTGATTTAATCAGAAATATTTTCAGAGTATAATAAACTATATTTTTGCACATGTACCACTTATCCATTGATGGGTATACGGTAGACCTATTAAAAAATAGACACAATTTTCAAAGAAAAATGTATTTAACCTAATTTGATCACTAACGTATCCAATAAATTAGTGTAATTCCATTCATTTCTTCATTTCTGATCTATTCTATACAGTGCGATAATATCTAATTGAGTAGGAAGTAAGAAATTATACTGGTTAGCAGCAAGAATTGTTTGTATAATTCAAACAAAATTATGAACGGTTGTAGTGCAATTGCATGAAAAAAGGATGACACACAAATCAATTGTTCAAAAAACTACGATGGATCTTTATTCTTATTTGATAAAAAACAATTGAAATCCTCTTGACGTGAAAAGAAACAAATACATCTGAAAGGACAATAAAAGCAATAAAATCACTTTTTTGTAAGGGTATTGTGGAGGTTGTTGAAATCTATGTTTTACAAGACAACTCTATCAGGATTCGGACCTAGAACCTCCAATCTACGTAGTTAACGCTTAACCTTTAGACACCTTAGCTTCATATAGTTCACACTTATAAGTTCAATTGGTTCATATATTTCTCAACCACCTTCCCATGCAATGACAGGTCATTATATTAGTCACGACATTATTAAACCTCACTGGTCATGGCTTCTCACTAGAACTCTTGGGTAGCGGATACACACTCTCAAGGATGAGTGTCTAATGCTTTCTAAAATTTTACGTTTGTAAACTAAGATCAGTTAGTTACAAAATCCGATAGCTTCTTTGATTATTGATTGATGAGTTCAAGTAGACAGTAATCAATTTGAAACAATCAGTTCAGACTACAGCAGATAGAGTTAATTGGATTAAGACCAATGAAGCAATGTCAGAAAATTTATATGCCCAAATAAGAGCACACTATACGTAGTAATCTGAGACGAATTGTATTATGTTGTTATATATGATAAAAATATAATATTTAAGTGAATTAACATTGTCTCTTCAACAAAATACCTAAAGATAAATAATGACTA